TAACCAGGGATGCCGTTTCCTAAATTTGGTTATCATCTTACCCGTTATTTTTCATTATCTTAAGTTGGGAGTTCAGCCCACAAAAACTAATTTTGAGAAACTACATCCGTGCTGCCAGCTGCAAGTCTGGGGAGAAAACTGCTTTGAGTGCATCTCGGAGGCATGCTAAGTCATTTTTCTTCCTGCACCCCCTTCCTCTTGCCCTTCCATCCCTCAGCCCAACGCATTTTGCAAAATTGCATCCCTGAGGCCCTTTATTTGCCGATATCACACGGTCTCAAATGACACGACGATTTAAACGGTGCGCAGCAAATTAAACACGTTCGTCGCAAGATGCTGTGGCCAGCCACGATTCTTACGACTAGTAATAGACCTAGTTATTTGGTATTTTATACTGTTTGGTATGTGAAGTGAATCTTGGCAGAAAAATCTGTGAAAAGCACTGATCTTAGCGACATTGGAAACGAACTTTGTCACCACCGATCTGTGACGTCAGCACCGATGTAGTATAGTTTGTAGCACCTGTTTCTGTCACGTACTTAAAGCTATCATGATTAAAGCTGCTATGTTTGGCAGCATTTTATGGCTCAACTGCCCATACAGTGAAACCAGTTTTGAATATGATCAGCTGAACGTGGTGCGGCTAAGCAGGACTCCAAAACTTTCGACTTTCGATCTTTGATTGCAGTCAGTTTGTATCAGCGTGGCACCACATAGACATAGGAAAGACACGCTGCCTCAGGTGGGTTCCATGCTGCTCTTCTAGAGAGCGGCTCATATCCTTCACTTCACCCATCTCGCCTTCGGACTGCGCTGTCCTGAGGCAACCACTCGCTGGCCTTCTGGTGCAGGAGCCAGTCACATCAAGTCTCTGGATAAGCCGTTTGAGTAACTGTTTTGTGCATTTAAAGGTCAGAAACTCCGCCACATGAAAGGCTTCCTCTCAACCATTTTTCACAAAGCAGGCCTTAACAGCATAGCGCATGTCCCCGTGAAAGCAATCGCTTTGCTCTCTGGCAGGCTAATTGCCGCTGAACCAGGCGAATGGACAGAGAAATAGAAACACTAAAGCATCGTTGTCACATTTTCCATGTGCTGCTACTTTGGGGCCAAAATTCCGACTGCAAATTCAAGTGCGGCGTCTTAAATTCAAGCTACGAAAAATAAAACAGCTCTTCGAATGTAGAGACATTTCCACATTTTCTAATCTACGTGTAACGTAACTTGTTTTTCATTTTCTGATATGTTTGAATGTATACAGCGAAAAACCATTGCTCTGCGCTTTCCTAATCCGGAGAGGTTCACGTTTGGAAGTTGGGAAAGCATTTATTTTGGGATGTGGACACTTAATATACCTGTGAGGGAAATAACATAATAATGGTGATAACAGAAATACAGGTAACGTTGAAAAAATTTAAGCAACAATAATGCTGTATCAGGTGACCTAAAAGTGGTAAATTTACAAAAGCTGCATGAGACACCAGTATTATATGCAGCACGTATATTTCTTAAGACTTGGATTACGCCAAACGCCCACCACATATTTATGCAAGTGACTAAGAAAGGCCGCTTCCTTCGTCCCACATATAAAAACGGATCAGTGTGGTTGCGTATGGTGAGGAACAAGTTAATACCCAAGAAAAAAACTTTTTTTGTGACTAAATACATTTGCACAGGAGGAATCCCTGCCTTAGGAATGCCGTAACAACGTTTTTGGCAGTGTTGGAAGCCTACGAGGTTTTTTTTTCTAAAACGTTGCAACAAAACTCGTCTCTTGTACCGAAGTCGGCGACATCCAGGCCGTGAGAAATTTAGAACTCATGGGCCGAACATTCGATTTGCAAATTCCGACTGGCTTGGGCTGAGGTCATGCTTTAAATATTTCAGCGTCTTAAATGTGCAGGCTGATCCTTCCCCGGTGAACCAAACTGCCTGCTGGAATTCCGCCTCGTTAATGCAGATGGCTCCTACGCGCATTAATAGATTTCGGGAGCTGCAGGTCGCCTCTTTGGCAATCGGTATCAATGATAGGACAGCAGTAGGCTGGTGCAGCATAACAACCAGGACCTCAACTTATCTCTAAAAAGTGTGCATTGCGGGTGGGCATCTCTACCTACCCCTTCCCTCCCTCTTTCCCCCTCCCCCCCCCCCCCCCTCCTAGTCGCCGTCCCGTCCGGTCGCCGGTGTCGCCTCCCCGATTGAATTTCCTTAACTTAACTTAATTTCCTTAGCTTCCCTGCAGGTCTATTTTAAAATTGCGTTTAGCTGTTTTTTCCGCTATATTCCAAACTACACCACCGTGTTTTACTTTAACGTAGGGCCCTGTGATGTGTGAGTGAAATAGATCCGAAGTGCTTCGCAATTTCATCTGTCCCGAAACGCAATGTTCATTGTTGCAGTTGCTGGCCAATTGCACAAATTCCATTTTCACACCATTTGGTTTTTTACGCATGCCGTGTGACTCGGTGCCTTCAATCTTGCTTTTGTGTCGCTGAGAAAGAGGGACGGGCTCTTCTAGTTGACAGACCAAAGATGAACTTGGATTGCTTACATATACCCGCAGATATGGCACAGCAGACATTTATAAACAGTTTAAGTTGTCATTCGATTTGCTTATATTTTGGACAGTGTGGTATCACAGGCGGCGTCGGCGCCTGACACCGCAATGGCCGGTGTTTGGACAGATGGCAACTGTTGGGTAATTTGATGTGATAGCTCGAGTTGAATGAATAAACAAGCCCGTTAGCGTACCATTGATGCTTTTAGAGCCGGCGCCCAGTGATGGCTGGGCTCCTCCTTGGATTAAGATTTCAAGATATTTTGGCAATCTCGCGATCTTTGCATGGGTGTGCGTTTGTCTTTGTATTGGTTTTTCGTTCGAACTCAGCTCAAGCACCACGGGCAATCCCATCTACCTATGTATATTATTGTATCGCTCTATTTCAGTTTTTGTCAGGGCCGCGTTTAGATTACTAACACCCCGTAACACCATTTGCGTTGGAGCGTTTAGAGCGGTTTTATTTCCAAATATTGGGCATTTGCTCAGGCATACACCACAGACACATTCGTTTGCAAGCATTTTCAAAAGCATGTGTCAGAAGATTCACTGAGTGCAGCGTCCAAATTTCAGATCCATATTTCAGGGGTCGGTTACTGCAGGTAAAAAACTACAAGACCTTTTACTGTCGTGTTAATTGCCGTAGTGCGACGCGGCGGCGAATCAATCGGAAGCCTGGGGAGACGCGGTGGTCCTGACGCCTTTCAGCGTCGTTAGATTTTCCAGCGCAGTTATCCTCCAAACTGCACATGTCGAACAAATGGCTTGATGACATAACTGCACGTGTCGAACAAACAGCTTGATGGCATAACTGCACGTGTCGAACAAATAGCTTGATGACATAACTGCACGTGTCGGGCAAATAGCTTGATGACATAACTGCACGCGCCGAACAAATAGCTTAATGACATAATTGCACGTGTCGAACAAATATATTGATGACATAACTGCAAGTATCGAACAAATAGCTTGATGACATAACTGCACGTGTCGAACAAATAGCTTGATGACTAACTGCACGTGTCGAACAAATAGCTTGATGACATAGCTGCACGTGTCGAACAAATAGCTTGATGACATAACTGCACGTGTCGAACAAATAGCTTGATGACATAACTGCACGTGTCGAACAAATAGATTGATGACATAACTGCACGTGTCGAACAAATATATTGATGACATAACTGCACGTGTCGAACAAATAGCTTGATGACATAACTGCACGTGTCGAACAAATAGCTTGATGACATAACTGCACGTGTCGAACAAATAGCTTGATGACATAACTGCACGTGTCGAACAAATAGCTTGATGACATAACTGCACGTGTCGAACAAATAGCTTGATGACATACTTGTGATCTGTGTCTGCAGGTCTGTTACATGGAGATCAAAACAACAAGTTCGTCAGTACCCTTTTCCCGCAGAATGAAAGCAATGAGAGATGTTTGCAGGTAAAGAGGATCGCACGGCATGCGGTGGTTACGCTCAAATAAGTCAGGGTCCCGAGTTGGCGGAGGTCACATCCTCAGTCTTGTCCCACTGGACAACGGCAGCTGGCATCCGACCCAAGGCTCGTGATGGCTGTGCGTCATAAGGTGGCGAAAGGCTCGGGTCCGGAGCAGCAGCGATAATCCCACCTGTTGAAGTTCTCTGCCACCAAAGGTGTAACCAAAGCAGCTCCGGCGGCGTCGCATCCCCTTCCCCAGTACCTGAGAGCCTTGCGTGGGTTTTTTGGACTCTGCATCGACATATCAGTACATCAACAGTACTGATCCGCTCCCCGATAGAACACCCAGGCTGCATGCGTGCCCCCCACTCAGTCTTTTCGTTGCGAAGACCGAATTCTGATATGTAGCCTCCTTCGCTCGCTACAACGCAAGCGGATGAATCCAGCCTGGTCCGGGCCGTGCTGCTCCGAGCCCACACCTCAGCTGGTCCTGTCCCTGCTGCTCCGAGCCCATACCTCAGCTGGTCCTGTCCCTGCTGCTCCGAGCCCACACCTCCGCTGGTCCTGTCCCTGCTGCTCCGAGCCCACACCTCAGCTGGTCCTGTCCCTGCTGCTCCGAGCCCACACCTCAGCTGGTCCTGTCCCTGCTGCTCCGAGCCCACACCTCCACTGGTCCTGTCCCTGCTGCTCCGAGCCCACACCTCAGCTGGTCCTGTCCCTGCCGCTCCGAGCCCACACCTCCGCTGGTCCTGTCCCTGCCGCTCCGAGTCCACACCTCCGCTGGTCCTGTCCCTGCTGCTCCGAGCCCACACCTCAGTTGGTCCGGCCCCTGCTGCTCCGAGCCCACACCTCCGCTGGTCCTGTCCCTGCTGCTCCGAGCCCACACCTCCGCTGGTCCTGTCACTGCTGTTCCGAGCCCACACCTCAGCTGGTCCTGTCCCTGCTGCTAGGAGCCCACACCTCACACACGCACTCGTCTGGTCCACCGTTCCAGCATCGAGCGATGAAACTGCGCCGCCTATCTGAGTGGCGGTGGTACCGGTGGTGCCACCTGGCGTTGATGACCGCCACCTACATCACCGGCGAGCTGTCCCACTTCCTGCCCGGCATTGTCAGCCGAAAGATGGCGCAGGAGATCCACTACGGCGACATCGGCTGCGTGGAACGCGATGGTGTCACTGAAGCCGTAGTCGAGTGCTACACGCTCACTGATAACTCCAGGTGGGTGAGGAACGCAATCTATGGTTGTTCTGAGACGTATGTACCTGCACGCATGCAGGGAGCTGATCAGTCGCTGTCGTCGTGAGCTATCACACCTGTTGGCGTGGTGAAGCCTGGCAAACGTTTGCACTGTGCTCGGGAACCGTACCGACTGTCAGCCCTGTGTTACCGATTGTTTCATTTGAGTTATTCATTCCAAACGGCCTTTTCCCATTTTGAACAAGCGTGATTCTCTCACCATTCACCAAGGTAACAATAAGTGCTGACGAACCATAACAGCGTTTTAATAAAGGGCCGTCCATAAAACAATCTACGTCATTTTTTCCACGTGTCAACCCCCTTCCCTCCCACCCCCGCCCTCGCCGACTTGGTTGTGCATTGGTCACATTGAGCTACAGGTCGTTGGTTACGCTGTAGTAAGGGTAGCGTTCCATAACGGTAGGATCCGTTTGACCCCTAACTGAGCTAGAGGTGCGGAACAAAAACGGGCGTATAACTTCTCGCGAAAGAAAGCAGACGGCGTCTTGCTTTGCCGTTTTAAAGCAAAGGACAGAACATAATTTGCTACCATACCTAGGCGTAGCACCATGCTCTCACCCCCCCCCCCTCCCCCTCCTATTACCCATCGTTTACCTTCTGGTAAAAACCTCCCCTCCATGCGCAAGATAATGTATGGACTGCAAGTAAGAAAATCTAGCTGCAAGTAAAGCCAGCATACAGTACAATACGCCGTGACTTATATCCTCTGCTTACAAATGTGCAATAATATCTACAAGAGCCGCTATTTTCCAACGCCAGAGAAACCATGAACTTATATGGGGATGGAAAGTTCCTTTGATTTTCTCATCGCAATTCATTGTGTAGAGGGCTCAAACTACAATTTCCAGGTCAGAAATGGTCTGGAAATTGAAAGAAAAAACGAAAGTAAGAAAAAGATGAAGGAAAGAAAGACATGAAAGAAAGGAATGGTCTGCGTTGATTGGTGTTTCGGCTTCCAGTTGTACGGAGCGGAGCCAGGGCACGTGCGAGTGGACATACACGGGCCTGGGGTTCCAGTACCAGCTGCTGGCCGGGCCCGCCTTCATCGGCGTCTTCACCGTGGCCGGCCTTGTGTTCGGAGCCCTGGCTGACTCCTTCAACAGGTCAGAAGAGGGCGCAACAGGTCAGGGACGGTCTCAACGGGGCGGACATGACCTCAGGAGACTGGGGATGATCTCAAACGCCAGGAATGCGCTCAACTTGTTTGGAATAGCTGGGTTGATCTAGGATGTGTCACTAGGTCAAGGACGGCTTCATTCGACCAAGCTTGGTTGCACCAAGCTTGGTATGCAGCAGGCAGCAGGTTCTACCAGTCAGTATTGGTCTGTACACAGTTCAGGGATGGCAGTCCCAAGCTCGGTATGTAGCAGGCAGCACGTTCCACCCGTCAGTATTGGTCTGTGCACAGTTCAGGGATGGTCATATCAAGCTCGGTATGCAGCAGGCAGCACGTTCCACCCGTCAGTATTGGTCTGTGCACAGTTCAGGGATGGCCATATCAAGCTCGGCATGCAGCAGGCAGCACGTTCCACCCGTCAGTATTGGTCTGTGCACAGTTCAGGGATGGTCATATCAAGCTCGGTATGCAGCAGGCAGCACGTTCCACCCGTCAGTATTGGTCTGTGCACAGTTCAGGGATGGTCATATCAAGCTCGGTATGCAGCAGGCAGCACGTTCCACCCGTCAGTATTGGTCTGTGCACAGTACAGGGATGGCCATATCAAGCTTGGTATGCAGCAGGCAGCACGTTCCACCCGTCAGTGCAATATCAACGGAGCGTAATGCTTACTGACTTAAAGAGGACCGAAACTACGAGGAATTAATTTAAAAAAAAACGGTATCTAAAGTTTTGCAGCGCAGCTCTCTGTTACGTCCATCCTGCTTGTCTTGACATCCAGTTTACACCTGCAGGCAACGGCTGCTGGCATTCAGCCTGCTTCTGCTGACCGTGTCTACGCTCATGATGGGATTCTCTACTCAGTACTGGCACCTGGTCGTCCTCAGAATGTTGACGGCTGCTGGGTAAGGTTCCGGCTGTTCTGGTCGGCCCGCATGGATGGGATGCAGGGCGGCGATATAGGTCTTGATTTGGTCAAGAAAAAGCTCTCACTTCAGGAAAAATGGTGTATAATATATGGCCTTATGATATTACTATACTGCAAGCAATGCCTTACAGACAGCCTTTCGCGTCTCGTTGTCTTCGCTTCGATCGCAAATTAGCCGTCATTTCTTCCTCACTTAGGTCTTTGCGTCTGCGCCCTGCCTACGTAAATTTTGGATTAGCTCCTGATCCTTCAGTCAGCGCCCCTGTCTCGCTACCTCCTAGCTCAAAACCTGATCCTTCCGTCAGCGCCTTTACCTCACTACCTCCTAGCTCGGCACCCGGCCCCTTCCGTCAGCGCCCCTCCCTCAGTACCTCCTAGCTCGGCACCCGGCCCTTCCACCAGCACCCCTGCGAGCTCAGTCTACCTCCGAGCTCAGTCTACCTCCGAGCTCAGCAGCTGACCCACTTGTCCCAGGGAGGCCGGCTTCTCGCCGCTCAGCACCGGCATGATCTCGGACCACTTCCCGCCGCAGCTGCGCGGTATGGCTATCGCCATCTTCACCTGGGGCATCTACTTCGGCTACGGTATCTCGTACGTGGTCGGAAACTACGTGACGGCTGCTGACATCATGGGCAAGGTAGCTTCGCTTGGCTCTGAAAATCGATCCCATGCTTGGTTTTTGGAGCGACAACCTTCTAGTGTCGTGAACTTCCGATCCGTCTGTTGTTTATGGTTTTCGTTTTCTGACGTCAAACGTTCTTTGGGCGAACCTCTTGCCGCATGCAAAGACTGGGAGTCAAATGGTGGTGTGTGATAGCTGCCTGACGACGCCATATGTGCCTTTCCGTCGCCGGGGGTCGCGGTCCCGGAGCTGATGGAGCTGACCCCGGTGACCTCGGGCTCCAGCCGACGCGTGAGGGCAGGCCTAACATAAACCGGACGGACGCCCAGCAGTGGAGAGTAATCGGGAAGTGTTCTCCAGACGTGATCTTTTAATTCATGACCATGTAGCTCTAATCACACCCATGATCATATAGTCATGGTAATCCACCGTCATGCCCGAGTTGGCCTTTCGACGTTTTTTTGCTTAGATAACGCGTTCGTAGAATACCGAAATATGTCTTAAAAGCATGAGCACACCGCCCGGCCCGACGATGCTCCACAATAAAGGCTCAGTCGGCCCCGTGTACCTGCATGGCACTTCGTCACTGGCAGGGCTGGCGCTGGGCGTTTTACGTGGCCGCCATGCCCGGCGTCGTGATCACCTGCCTGCACCTGCTGGCCCATGACCCGCGGGCCGGCCCGGCTCGGCGTCAGCTGACGCACCTGGCGGGGGAAGCGGTCGGCGACGGCGTCTACCAGCTGAGTGCGTCGACGTAGCGCGCAACGAACGTGGAGCGATTGGCGACGGTGGGCTAACAGCGGCCCATCCTGCCATTCGGCTCACCCGTTTAATCACTTGAAACTAGTGGTCGAGCATTTGGTCGAGGGTTTGTTTCATTATGCTGGAGGGTTTTTTTGTGAAAAAATGAATTGCTGTTGGGGCTCTACTTTGTGTTTGGGAGCACGCCGTGTTTTCGACAGAGCTTTACGGTGACGACGGCGAGGGAACAATATCCATTATTTCGCACCTTTTGCTGGTTGTGTCTGGCGTCAGTTCTCACACCAACATGGAGTGAAGGCGTGTATGCACGTGTCGTCATTCTGGCAATGCTCCTCTTGCGTGAAACTGGAGCGGAGAGCCCAATGGCGTGTCATTGTTGAGCCGCTGCCCGATGCTTCGCTCTGCAGCACTGCGTGTCGCTGTCTCTCTGGAGCGAGGCGTGCCGCTGTCGCTCTGGGGCGGGCGTGTCACTGTCGCTCTGGAGCGAGGCGTGCCGCTGTCCCTCTGGAGCGGGTGTGTCACTGTCGCTGTGGAGCAGGCGCCCCGCTGTTGCTCTTGAGCAGGCGTGCCGCTGTCGCTCTGGAGCGGGGTGTGTCACTGTCGCTGTGGAGCGAGGCATGCCGCTGTCTCTCTGGAGCGGGGTGTATCACTGTCGCAGGGAGTCCGGGGAGCGTCTCCAGCGAGCCGCCTGCTGGCGACGCCGCTGAAGGCCGGCCTGCCACCCCTTCCAGCCGCAGTGGTGGCCGCTGGGTCGGCGGCCGCTGGTGCCAGCTGGCTGCCGACAAGGTCAGGGTGTTCCTGCAGCCCAGCATTCTGCTGTTGCTGCTCGGCGCCTCGATGAGGCACACCGGTAAGCACGGGACGGACTTCTGCGTGTGGACACTGACGCCAAGCGACCACACAGGCGGCATCTAGCGGCATCCTGGGCAGGCCGGGCGGAGGCTCTGCTTTATGGTCCCAAGTGGAGGACGGGGCGACAACCGGGATATCCACTTAGTTCAGAACAGCCGGTTCCCTTCTTTGGCCATCACCGCACCAATGATATCTGGATAATATCTTAATGATATGTGGGTGATAAATGGGTGATATCTGGGAGATATCTAGGTGATATCTGCGTGATATCTGAATGGAAATATAGCGCGAACTAAATGTCTTCTCGCCACGGACATGGAAGACACCCACCAGGCACCCCCGCCGAAAGCACTCTCATGCCATGCGGAAGTCATGCCGTTGTTTTGGTTAGATGGAGCTGGTTTCGCAGTGTGCTACGGCGCCAAAGCCATAGCGGCGAGAACCAGCATCCGTCTCGCAAGTGGGGCGGGGCCAGGCTTAAAATCGTGCAATCAGAACGGGATCAGTCAGTCGGCATACCAGTACGGCAGATCAGTAAACAACCAGTGCGGGATCAGTCAGTCGGCATACCAGTACGGCAGATCAGTAAACAACCAGTACGGGATCAGTCAGTCGGTACACCAGAACGGGGACCAGTAGACAGTCAGTACGGGATCAGTCAGTCGGCATACCAGAACGGGGACCAGTAGACAGCCAGTACGGGATCAGTCAGTCGACATGCCAGTACGACAGATCAGTAGACAGCCAGTACGGGATCAGTCCATCAGTAGGGGATCACTCAGTCGGCATACCAGTACGGGGGATCAGTAGACAGCCAGTACGGGATCAGTCAGTCGGCATACCAGTACGGGGATCGGAAGACAGCCAGTATGGGATCAGTACGTCGGCATACCCGTACGATGGATCAGAAGACAGCCAGTGCGGGATCAGTTAGACGGCATACCAGTACGGCAGATCAGACAGCCAGTACGGGATCAGTCCTTCAGTAGGGGATCAGTCAGTCGGCATACTCGTACGGTGGATCAGAAGACAGCCCGTTGCAATCCTGTTGTCCTTGCAGGTTCCGTGACAGGGTCTAACGAGCGCTGTTACCTCCCCAGCTGGGTTCTGCTGGTCGACCAACACGCAGCTCTACTTCCAGACCTACTACCCCACCGCCGACCTGGGCCTCTGGCTCTCCTGGGTCAGCCTGGTCGGAGGCTCCATCGGGGTCACCGTAGGTTAGTGTGCCGGCAGGGGCGCCGGACAGCTGAACGTTACGGTACGCTGGAGGCAGATGACGTCATAAGGGCGGTGCGTCGAGTGGTGCGCCGAATCTAAGCCTTGCGTTTGGCGTTTGCAAAGCGTCAAACGCCGGGTAATCCGCCCTGGTCCGTTGGTCTGCCGCAGACGGTCTGGCCAGCGCGTGACCCGATGGTGTGGTCTGTCGCAGGTGGTCTGGTCAGCGACCGACTAGTCAAGAGGCTGGGCCTGAAGTCCAGGGTCTGGGTGCTATCAGCTAGCCAGGTCAGTTTCAGCACCAGCAGCTCGAGGATCGTTGTTGGGTTGGTGCAAACGCACCTCAGTAGTGCACGCGGAGCCGTGCACCACGCACTGTGTTGACGGCGCTGGCTTCCCTTCAAATGATGACCCATCGTGACATGCGAAGCTGGGGAAGGGGGAGTGGGACGGATAGTGCGTAGTGTAACAAGGCTGCTTCAGGGAGACCTGGCATATTCTTGCAGCATACATTACAGACTAGAGGTGGAAGCTAACGTGTCAATACTGTGGCGCTAAGAAAACTGGCGATCACCGACGGCTGGACTTAGAAATGGAATGGTTTAGACTATGCTTAAGACAATGGTTTTGAATATCCCCTCATGGACTACAAGGTGCCTATTTCAGCGACAACCAACTTATAATGCAGAGCCTTCCCTCCGAACCTTAGCTGAGGCCATCTTTGAACAAAGCTGTTTGATAGCGCATGACGTTAAACGGTAGTGGTAGCGGAAGCGCCGAAGAAGGGGGCAAGAACCAGTCACCCCTGCTTTGGAAGGCTAGCTCTAGCCACCAGCGGGCGTGCCGTCTGCGCACGCCGTCTGTGGTGCCGGGCGTGCGCTGACGGAGTGTCGCCCTCAGCTGCTGGCCACCCCCTTCGCCGTCGGCACGCTGTACTTCGCTCCGCAGGGCTGCTTCGTCAGCCTACTCACCGCCTACCTGTTTGGTGCGTAGACAAGCGGGGTGATAGCGAAGAGTGTTTGGCCGAGTGTTCATCGACGAACACGACGAATTTTGTGAATTTCAAGGAGAGCTTAACTTTAAAAGAGGTAGATGAATATCAATGAAGGAAAGACAGGGAAGGCTAATTAAGATCACCAACCAAAACTTCAGACCACTCTCAGCAGTCGTTTTAACAAAACCGCTTCCCTGCGTAAATGACTTTCACGTGGCACCGTTCTTTTCCTTCCGCACTTGAGCTGTGGTTCAGATTCTTCGACCAGAGCCAGATTTTGTCTTCTACTTCATCACATCCTTACTATGTCTTCCACTTGCATGACTTGCTTGGCATGTATCGTCAATTGCATCCCTTCGTTCTGTTCTCCGCTGCTTCCCTTTATTTGTTCTGTTTTGAGACTGCGCGTGGTAAGCGATCTCCGGCCCCACCGCTCGTCTGCACGAGATGGTGTACCTGGCCCTCCCCGCGAGGAGCAGATGTTCAGAGTTTCCGGCCGCCGCTCCGTAGCTGTAGAGGTGGCTTAGCTCGTGCTCCCTGCCATCGCTGAAGTGGTTCAGCTCCGCCTCCCACCTCGGCAGCCGAGATGTGGTTCGGCGTGGTACTGGCGATCGTGGTGGAGCTGGTGACGCCCGACATCAAGTCGTCCACGGTGGCCATCTTCCTCTTCATCATCAATAACGTGGGCGGCAACATGCCGCTGGCGGTGGACGGACTCAGCCGGGCGATCGGCTACCGGGAGGCGCTCTACGTGCTCTACCCGGGCATGTACCTGGCCAGTGAGTGTCGGGACGGGACGGGACAGGACAGGACAGGACAGGACAGGACAGGACAGGACAGGACAGGACAGGACAGGACAGGACAGGGCAGGACAGGACAGGACAGGACAGGACAGGACAGGACAGGACAGGACGGGACGGGACGGGACGGGACGGGACGGGACGGGACGGGACGGGACGGGACGGGACGGGACGGGACGGGACAGGACAGGACAGGACAGGACAGGACAGGACAGGACATCTGGGGCTTACTGGGAGGGCGCAGATGCCGACTTTCCTACGGAGCAGCCTAAAGAGCCACCCTGTACCCTCAGGAGCTGGGGATGAGGCAACAAATACGTTAACTTGAATCATGCTCAGGACGGTCTGCTCTCCGTTTATCTGTGGAGTCACGCTGGAAAATATCCCCGGATAGAAACCTGATTGTTTCATTGGCGCAAATCGGATCAGTGCAAACCTCTGGCCTTTATTTGCATGCCGAGAATGCGACCCACGGAGAGTGGTCATACAGCGGACGACATTTGGCAAATCATGGCAAAACATCGGTTGATTTTACATGATATATTTAACATGTCGTGCGCAGCATAACGGCCAAAATTTATTCAACAGTCTGTATGTCCGATATTCAGCAATCTAGGTTCGCTTTACTTTGCCGCTGTTTCACGAGAGGTGTGCACGCCCTTTCGCAAATAGGCGCAACTACTGAGATCATTCAGCCTTCACTTGCGGTGACTCTCTGTAGTGCCCACGCCGACAGACAGGGTGACGTCATTCTTACGTCACGCTTCTCTGCGCCAGGCTCGGTCGTGTTCCTGATGACGGCGTTGGCTCTACGCCGAGAGGACACACATCTGTATAGCATCCCCGACTGAGGTGGCCGACACTTGTAGTCTGGCAGTCTGGGGTGGCCGACACCTGCAGTCTGACAGTCTGAGATGGCCGACACCTGCAGTCTGATTGTCTGAGGTGGCCGACACCTGCAGTCTGATTGTCTGCGGGGGCCGACACCTGCAGTCTGGCAGACTGAGGAGGCTGACACCTGCAGCCTGCCAGACTCAGAAGGCTGACACCTGCAGCCTGGCAGGCTGAGGAGACTGATACCTGCCGCCTGGCAGGCCGAGGCGTGGCGCCTTCGGTTCGCAGAGTTTACCGCAATATCGCACCTTTTGCGCACGAATACAATTATTTCACACTGCACGCCGTTTCTGTGCAGATGACCACTCCAGCTAGCCAGCCAGCATTAAGTGACATGTTGCCAATCAAATAAAATCGAAACAAAAATCCTACGAGTGCGCCGCGCTAGCAGCTGATAGCCCTATACCAGTGCTATCAAATACACACAGTCGTAATCTTCGAGTTTGCTTATAACTATTTTCCGAAGAGCCGTATTATAGTCATCACTCTGCGTGAAGGCTGGTTGCCGTGAGCTCTGCTCTGTCCAGGGGTGATGTTAAGGGTCATCGCGACCGATACCGATTTGCATTATCGTCCAGTGATGCTCCCGTAATGACATCGTATGGGCACAGCTTCACCAACCGCGCGCGACTTAAAGCATTCAAAATTGGACGCCGTGTCTGTTCAAACCACTGTTACGGCGGGCATTCAAGCATGGAGTACTGTGCATTGTCGAGGGTCTAAAATCGAACCTCAAAACCGGCAAGCGTGGTGTACTGGCAGCTGATAGCCCTAAACTAGTGTTAGCGAATGCACACAGACGCAATCCTCGGGTTTATTATCCATGCCTTTTACGGGCTACCTTATAGTGGCCATTACTCGTCAGCTCTGTTTTCAAAAGGTGATGCAAACAAAAAAGATCATATCGGCCAATGTTAGATTTACATTGTCAGCCGACAGCAATTCCACACCATCGTCAGTACAGTTTGGACTTCCCGCGTGCAAGTAGGAGTATTTGAAATTGAACGGCCTATCTGTGCCAAATCACCCTTTCCAGTCGACAAGCAACCATCGGGTGATACGGCAGGAGGTCGACAGAATAAAATCAAAACCAAAATTTTACGAGTGTGCTGTACTGGCAGTTGATAGCCTCATACCAGTGCCATGGAATGCACACAGTTACAATCGTTAACCTGTGTTGTTAGTCGTTTTGCCCCGACCGCCTTATTTATCCATGATTTTATGGGCTGGCCGGCCGCAGCACTGCGCTGCCAGCGGGTGATTTGAAGGTCATGTCATGTTGAAGGTCATGAAAGGTCATGTCGGCCGACACGAGATTGACGTTGCCAGCTGATAGTGTCCCCAACGACAGCGTGTGCGCAAGGTTCTGGTGCGCACGAGTAGAAGCATTTCACATTGAACTCCGCATCCGTACAAATCACCGTTTCTGTCCGTCAACAACTTTTGGGTGATTCGCTGTCGGGGTCCACCGAATAAAGTCAAAACCAAAACCTGAACAGTGTGTTAAACTAGAAGCTGATAGCCTTTTACCAGTACTACGGAACGCTCGTGGTCATAATCTTCGAGTTTTATGGAAAGCATTTTTGCCGTGCCGCCGTATTACAGCCATCACTGTGCGTGCAGTTAGGTCGCCGTCAGCTCCGCGCTGTCATGAGGTGACGTGAACAGAAAGGAGTATGTCAGCGCGAGTGCAATGTTTCACCTACCGCGAACACGTCAAGGCGTTCCAAATTGGCCGAGATATCTGCGCAAACCACCTGGCTGTTTGTATTATGTATAGGCTGCGTGTTATAATATGCATGGATATATTATGTTATATAATTATCATATAATATGTGTTATTGTATGCTATATAATTGTTACATAATATATTATATAATATATGTTATATAATTATACATAATAAACATATGTGCATAATATGTTTATAATATGTATAGTAATATAATATAAATATATGTGTAGTGCCTCTCCAGCAGGCACGCAGCCATTAAATGATACGCCGTTGGGAGGTCCAGCCAGATCTAACACGGACCAGGTAAGGTCTGACTAGATCTGTCAGCTGATGATTTGGAAAAAGTCCTTTTGACCTTTCGTGTGCACATGGTCGCACCCGTCGTACAGGACAAAAAGTTTGTTCTTTTTAATTGGACATCAAATCGTCATCATTACATGATTACAAACTGCGCTATGACCGGCCAGCCAGCCAGAATAAAAAAGTGTCAGGGGTCCACCGAACAGAACGGTTGCTGTAATCGGACAAGTGTGGTGTATTTACACCTGATAACCCAACAGCGGCGCCATGGAATGCACGCAGTCACACTCCTTGTACGCGATGATGTGCAGTTGGTCTTCGGGACGCAGTGTTTTGAACATCACGCCATTGACAGGATGGATGCAGTTGCAATGCGCCATCAAGGGGCGACTGACACAAATATGTCATGTCGGACGATAGGCAATTTGTTTAGCTTTCCTACGGCCCCCCCCCCCCCCTCCCATAATGGTATGGACCGCACATGGTCACACCCTCCACTCGGTTTAAAGAGTTTTATTGAAGGTGAAAAGGATTTTTAAATGCAAGACGTAACTTTGCAAAACGCCGATTTGGCCGGCGCGTCAACATCGAGCGATGCACAGTGAGGGGCTGAATGAAATAAAAGGGAGATTTTGAAATATTCTGATATATGGAATGCTCCGTTCTGAATATTCTATGAGTTTTCACTGTATCTGGTCATTAGGGAAATGGCCGGCCCGATGGATTAAGTAGCGGACCGTCATGTTATCGTATCAAGAAAAATGGGGCTTTCCCCAACGACGGAGTCGCATTGCTGCCCATACTGCTCCCACAATGCTACCGTATGCATACCGTTGTTTCCACGTATGCTACCATATGCACGCATACAGTTGCACCTACCGTGCCCGAGATCTTTGTTAAATTGTACCGCATGACTTGGTGATCGTCGCTGCTTCCAGCCCACCAGCATTGAGTAAATCAGGGTTGGACCGAACAAAATGAATGCCTTTATCGTACAAGTGCGTTGCAGTGGCAGCTGGTGCCCATACGGCAGCGCTAACGAACGTAGAGACGATCTCTTCGTGAGGGATTACAGGCAATTTTCTGAGCTCGCCGTGTGCTGGTTACCGTTCTACCGGACGGACGGCCACATTTAGCAATGCACCATCAGTGGTCATGGGAACAAAATGGCCGACGACCAGTTGGCATTGCCGGCTATAGTACTCGCGCTTTGGCATGGTGCGCACACGGCCTACCCGCCGTGCACTGGGAGCATTTTCCAATGGACCCCCCCGATTTAAAAAAATATATATATGTCGCAGGCGTGCCTACAGCATTGAGTGATGCGCTGCCAGAAAGTCAGTCGAAGATAATCGATTCATCATTCGGAGAACTATGCCGCAGTGACAGGTGATAGTCCCGCGGGAGCGCCGTCGAATGCACACGTTCGCACTCTTCGCACGCGACTAGCATTTGCTTTCGTTTCCTTTTTTGCCGCACACCGTATGGTGGCCACGTCACGGGTCAAGCGACCATATTTAGTCATGCATAGAAGCCATGCATTCCACGTTGACACGTGAACCAGGCCTGCGAGCGCATGTAGTTACGGCTGGCTATGTTGAGGGGTGTGTGGTCCAGTCTGGTCCCCACTGAGGCAGGGAGCCGGGCGGCGCCAGTCACCTAGCCCACGTTTGGGCGACCTCGTGACCGAGGAGGTGCTGTTTGCATTAGAGATGGCGTAGAGATGCATCGTTACAGGGGCACAATAACACTTTCCCCACGTCTGCAGCGTTGGAAGACCGCCTGATCGAGGCTCACGTCGAACTGGTCGACACAGCGAGAGCGTGCTGTTTGATGCGGTGTCCACTGACGCTCCAGCGCCGCTGTCAAAGCTGGAGCAGGAGGCGATGTGGATTTCCACATGACTTGACAGCACACACCAAATTAAAAACGTGTTTCCACCCGTGACGTCATCCTTGATTTTGTGGTATCCGGACAACATAGTTCTTGATGATTGGAGAGACAGATGTTCGTTTCGGCGAACTCAGAGATTCCGTTTTTGTTTCTTTCACGCTACTCAACGCACGAACGCGGAACAAGGGAATGCAATGTCATACCGCTGGGCTTCGTCGTCTCCCCGAAGTACGCTAATTGCGCAGCCCTTGCTGGCATATCTCGATACAAGGCCTTGCGCAAATTAAACATATTTAATAACGCCGGACAAAAATCACGAACACTTAATCAGAGAAACACAAAACATAAGTCTTGAAAAGCATACCTTTGATGCCACTGTCCGAGATGACTGTCGACGCATGCCATCTCTTACATGATCTGGATGCCGCTGACTGACCTTAATGTCTGACGAGAACTGCTGTCTCATTTGAAGGTTGCTGTCTGATTAGAGCTGCTGCCACCGGTGCTACTGTCGGATGAGAGCCGCTGCCTGGCCTGAGAGCTCTAGACGGCCCTGATAGCTATCTACTCTCGGTACTACTGTCGGATGAGAGCCGCTGCCTGCCCTGAGAGCTCTAGACAGCCCGGAGAGCTATCTGCTCTCGGTACTAATGTCGGATGAGAGCCGCTGCCTGGCCTGAGAGCTCTAGACAGCCCTGAGAGCTATCTGCTCTCGGTACTAATGTCGGATGATAGCCGCTGTCTAGCCTGATATCTGCCATCAGTTCTCAGTGCTAACGTCGGATGAGAGCCGCTGTCTGGTCTGAGAGCTGTTATCTGTTCTCAGTGCTAACGTCGGATGAGAGCCACTGTCTGGCATCAGAGCTGCTGTCTGCTCTCAGTACTAACATCGGATGAGAGCCGCTGTCTGGTCTGAGAACTGCTATCTGTTCTCAGTGCTAACGCCGGATGAGAGCCGCTGTCTGGTCTGATATCTGCCATCAGTTCTCAGTGCTAACGTCGGATGAGAGCCGCTTCTGGCATCAGAGCTGCTATCTGCTCTCAGTGCTAACGTCGGATGAGAGCCACAGTCTGGTCTGAGAGCTGCTATCTGTTATTAGTGCTAACGCCGGGTGAGAACCGCTGTCTGGTCTGAGAGCTGCTATCTGTTATCAGTGCTAACGTCGGATGAGAGCCGCTGTCTGGTCTGAGAGCTGCTATCTGTTCTCAGTGCTAACGCCGGATGAGAGCCGCTGTCTGGCATCAGAGCTGCTGTCTGCTCTCAGTGCTAATGTCGGATGACAGCCGCTGTCTAGCCTGATATCTGCCATCAGTTCTCAGCGCTAACGTCGGATGACAACCACTGTCTGCCCAAGAGCTGCCATCTGTTCGCAGTGCTAATGTCGGATGAGAGTCGCTGTCTGGCCTGAGATCTGTCCGAGATCCTCCGTCGCAGCACGTATGGTGGCGGCGGCCTGTCCCAGGCGGCCGCGCCACTCAGGCCGAATCGGCACAGATCTTCCGACGCTGTTCACTCTCCTGTATTCCGACATCGCGGACGGGTCACGGCACGGGAGGCGGCCAGAGGCTGCCTCGCCCCCTGACCGGTCACGGCCCACCAATAAATACACACGCGCACGCACACACGCACAGACGCGCACACACACAGTCGCGCGGGCTGATTCGGTGCCCGACCATTGTCAAAAGAAAGGATACAGGTGCAGAGACAATGCAGTGTGCAGAGACAATGTGCCGGGCCCAGGAGAGTCAGGCAGATTGCAATCCCGACCACTGTCAGAAGAACGGATACGGGTGCAGCAGTGTGCAGTGCCGGGGCCCGGAAGGGTCAGACAGATTGTAATCCCGACCACTGTCAGAAGAACGGATACGGATGCAGCAGTGTGCAGTGCCGGGCCCCAGGAGAGTCAGGCAGATTGCAATCCCGCCCACTGTCAGAAGAACGGATACGGATACAGCAGTGTGCATAGAAACAGATGTACTAGGGCCCCGGGGAGTCCGGCAGGCAGACTGCACTAATTATTGCGCTATTCGGTAGTGTTCAAAAACTACATGACCGAAGTGAGCCATCTCACCTAAGATCTGCATAGAGCTCGGGCAGCCGGGAGCAGCTGAGCACCTCGGCGTCGTTTCGCAACACTCGATCGGACCCGCGGCCCCCAGGCGCACGGCGGGGGGCGGGCGGCGGCCGGGGAGCTACGCACTAGGGTCGCACCTCAACACAACAGCACCATGGTGAGGGCGGCGGCGCGGCTCGCCGCCCAGCCTTCGGCAAGACTCCACAACACTACGTTAGTCGCTCGGGCACTCATCTCCATAAGCCATCGCCGAGGGCGCGTGTGGTCACGCCAATCTCATCCGCAGAGCAGCGCGGGCCCACCCAGCTTGACATTGTACACCAAGTACGCGGTTTCCGTGAAATGTTCGCGGCGCGGCGCACCAAACCGGCCTCCGCGAAACAAAGCTCATCGCTGATTCTCCACAGGCGCCTCCACCCAGCGACGGGCCACCGCCGGCGGTGCTGTTCCCCTGAACATGACGCCGTTCGGGTCAACGCAGACGCTGAGATTCGGCACGGTCTCTCTGAGTTGAAGCGGTCTGATATCGTCGGCCGCCGCCCGCGTCTGGCGGCGGCGGCGCCCTGTTTGCTGCCGACGAGGCTGGCTCAGCGCCCTGCTCCGATACCCTGCTGCCCTCTCCCCGCGGGGAGGACGCCGCCGGCCCGACCCGGACCCCGACCACGCCCTCCGCCTCCCTCTCGGAGACACACCGGCACCACCTGACCGCGCCGCCTCGGCGGGGGCGCGGGGGGCGCCGCTCGTCACAACCTCGGCCCGCCCCAGCCCTGTGCCGCCGCGGGCGGGGCGCGGCTGCCCCGGCTCCGATCCGCCGGCGGACTACGGCCGAGCGCGGCCACTACGGAGCGGCGCGCGGCGGCCGCTATAGGTCGGCGAACGAGCCACTCAGCAGACCGTCCAGCTCCTTGGTGTGCGCTGTCTTGCTGCCGGTGGCCGGCGAGGCGCCGCAGTTTCTGCCCACGTACCTGTCGGCCATGGGGCGCACGGTCAGCATCGCACTGGGCCGGACTCAGGCTCGCCCTGGCCCGGCCGGCAGCCACGCTCTGGCCCGGGCCCGGCTGCCACAGGCCAGGTCCCCGGCTGCCACAGACCAGGTCCCCGGCTGCCACAGGCCAGGTCCGTCCCCAGCTGCCACAGACCGGGGCCACCCCCAGCCGCTCGTGCTCACCGGATGCGTCTGGCAGGCGTGCACGGGGGCGGGGGCCTGGCCGGCGGCTGGGGCCCCACTCTCGGCTCCATCGGGGCCGACCGGCCGAACAAACGCCAAAACCAAGAGGTGCCAGAGGCCGGCAGCGGATCCGCTGCCTGAGGCGACTCGGACCTGAGGAGAACCAGGTCAGCCCACCGCCTCTGTCAACTTGGAGCTGGCCGTATCCCAGTACAAATAGGCTTTTGTTCGTGAGAGGATGGACGAAATTGCGTACGTCCTCGGGTACATCATACCTCCTCCACCCCAAACAAAGGCACAAAGCCAGGCCGGTGAGTGAGCATAAGTTCATACAGCGAAGCTGAAGACGGGCAAGAACACACAGCCAGGGGGAACATTCCAGCGGAGTAGGGTATAATGAACAAAGCTGCTTAATACAATACGAATGTTTTTTGTGTTAGTCAACATAACCGTCAGATTAGCACAGCCAATGCCACAACATACAAGGAAGTACAGGTTTAACGTTAAACAGCACAAGTGAATGGTGAAACTACGAGGCTGAAAGGACATGCGGGTGGCATGCTTTACTGGCCAGTAATACCCCGAACACTTTCGAACATCGAACACAAGCAGCGCGCGTGCACTGCCAGATGCGGCTTTCTTCTTCGGCGTGTGGGCGGCGCCTGTGACCTTGAACCACCGCACCCTGACCTATGCACCCGTCGGTGACCCGGAGGAACTTCTCATTCATGTATCCGTTCATGGAGCTTAGCTTCACTCCGGCCGTGCTGATGCATTATCGAATGACTGGCACAGCAATCTCTCTTTGAGCCCGGGAGGCCGCTAGCCAAATGGTTATCACAAGTCACATGTTTTCTGGAGCTAAGACAATAGTAATAGCCAAATTCCTCGGGGAAAAACCAGAAGAATAATAAAAAATAGCAGAAGTCTTCTGCTATTGTTTCCCTAGAGACATGTTGCAGAAATATCAACACATCTATATCTCCATTCTCCTGGTTTTTCTCCAAGGAATGAGGCCATTACTACCGTCTTATCTATGTGAATAACGTTCCTCGCAAATCCAGTGAACAGCTTACGTAGTTTTCCTGGAGCAGGGCGTTGTCTGAGCCTGGGCCATACGTTCCGGACTATCCCGCTACTTTCCTCCCCTCACCACTACTCTGACAACCACCGTGAGACCTGCGCCGCTCCATGAGCCCCGCGCTTTGAATCTTGTCTGGTGGTCTTTATGGTGCTATCACAACCACTGTTCAAAATCGATGAGCACCCAAAAACCACCTCAGGGACAATGGGTTAGCGGATCTGAAGGGTTTGTCACTGTCATTAGCGCTGTCGATCTCTTGTTTCATGGGGTCCGTCACTACTTTCGGTACGTGACAAGCTTCAATCTTTGCGATTTTGTAGTGTTGTTGAAAACAGAGGACTCCCAAAAACAGACGATGTATACGTCATAGGGCGGATAATTTTGCAGATATTTTTCCGCACGTCACCTTTATCAATTGTTTCGCAGCTCGAACATCTGCAGACGGCATATTTACACAATGTCAAAGCAGCGCTCTCTCTCTTCGAAGATCTTAACATATCCATACGTCCCGACACACGCGTCTTGCAAAAAGACCCTGGTTGTGGTGTCTGCGCCCTCCGACCTTCTCTTGGCTCAGGTCGACCTCCTGACCGGCCGCGCGCGCTCCGATCAACACCTGCAGACCTTTCCAGTGTGCCTCACCCCCCACTTCACCCCCGCGCCACAGCAAATGACCTTCATGTACGGGTCACCAGATAGCCTTGACATACATTCCACTCGCCTTCTAACACGAGCTCGTCGCCTTGACCTATGTCTGTCGTACATTGCCAAAAAGGCCTAAGAGCCATTAGTTAACATACCACTTACGCATGTTTGCCTTTGGACAGCAGATGTGTGCGTAATGACATCGCCGTAATGATCATGACCTTTCGCACGTACCCTGACGTTTGGCATTATCCACCTGGCGACCTTGACATGTCCCTCCCACCGCTCCCCCCTCTCTGCAGCACCTGATGACCTTGACCTTGACCTGCCGCTCACCTGATGATCTTGGCCTTGGCGGCGGTGGTCTCGAAGCGCGGCTCGATGTACGCCCAGGCGCCGTTGTTCTTGGCCTCCTCCTGCGTCCAGATGATGTCGGCGTCGGCCGGGTACAGGTCCAGCTGCTGCTTCACCTCGTCGAACGGGAACGGTGACAGCTGCACGGCACAGAGCGTCATGACAGACAGACAGACAGACAGAGCATCATGTCGGCCGGCCGGCCCCGCCGCACGGTCCCACCGGCTACCGACGTCGCTTACAACGTAGCCTAAATACATGGTCAAACACAACGACCGCAATTGGAATATCTGGCAATGTGTGACGCAGACGAATCGAAACTGCTAGCCAAGAAATAGCCTGCACCACTAGACTGGTGAACTACCGCAGGCAAAGTCTCACGACATTTGGTGGCGGAGATCCAAGGCCAGCGCCCACAGCACAGCCCCAGCTGGCCTCAGTCCAGCGGTGTAGGGTGCCGAGCTGCCGCTTACAGAGCTGCTGACACCGGTACGCCAGAACGTAATCCCGACGCTGCCAGCACTTTCCCACGGCGCCACAGATCGTATCGCCCCTGCCGTTTGAGAGGCGGCACGCGCCGCGCACCGCCGGGGTGCGCGACCGCGTGTCAGGTGAGGACCGGGTGCCGGTACACGCGGGAGTCCGCGGCCCGCGAGAGGCCGGCCCCGCCTCACCTGCTCCAGCCGGACGATGGCCACCTTGTCCTGGAGGCCGCGATCCTCGCGGGCCTTCTCCAGGTCGAAGTAGACTTTGCCGCTGCAGAAGATGACACGCCGCACCCCCGCCGGGTTCTGCGCCGCCACGCCCGTGTCCGGCAGCACTCTGCCAATCACAGCCGGCCACGCGGCGTGTTGCGGGCGCTCAGCCAATCACAGCCGGCCGCGCAGCGTGTAACGGGAGCTCAGTCAATCACAGCCGACCAAACAGCGTGATGCGGGCGCTCAGCCAATCACAGCCGACCAAACAGCGCATTGCGGACGCTCAGCCACTCAGCCAACACCATGTATCTACACCAGTGCGACGTCCCAGATAAACCAGTCTGTCACACAGCGCTTCACACACAACACGCCATGGAACGACAGACACGCATGCAGACCGCGCCGACCAGCTCACCTCCCGAGGTACGCAGCACCAGACCCACCTCATGAACTCTGTGCCGCTGCACATAGTGTCGAAGCTGCTCTGGGCGCGCGGGTGGCGCAGCAGAGACTTGGGCGTCATCAGGATCAGCGGCTTCCTGAACGGCATGTGCACCTGGCGCCGCAGGATGTGGAAGTAGTTGCTGGGCATGCTGCAGTTGGCCACCTGTCGGCACGGACATAGACGACCGGGGGTTACACACACAGCGGTGAGTGGCTTGGGGATGGCCGGAGGGTCACACACAAACGCACCCGCAAATGGCTCGGGGACGTCAACTCGGGACCCAACGTCATCGAATGGCTACGGCGTTGGCCTGATCAACACACCGGACATCTTGCTGCGACAGTTGTAATTTATATTAGTGTTGAAAATTATGTTGCGGGACCTTGCGCCCTGCATAGCGCATCCATCCACCCGCATCGGTGTTTGTGTCGTGGGCCGTCCCGCCCCCCCCCCCCCCCCCCCCCACCGCGTCCCTGTGGTAACTTGTCTCAGCAAAATGTATCATGGAAACCGAAATGGCACTGTAAAAGCCCCGAATGAGACCGAAATCACAAACACAGTACATCCATGAATGGGAGAGCAAAATCACAAAGAGTTCAAACTGAGAGCCCAAAATCATCAATAAAAGATGTGATTGTCAATCCCAACCATGGAACGCTGTCACCGAGGACCGCAGTGCGCCCTGGCTCCTGCCGGTCAAAGGTCACGGCACTCGAGGCGCCGCGGACCGGTCTGTGATTGGCTGGCCACGGTCTGACCTGTGGCCCCGACCATGACCCCCGGGGACCTGGCTGGAGACGGACTGGGCAAATGGCCAGGCCGATCGGCGCGTGGCATGCTACGCTGAACCTACGCCCAGAGACCGCGACGCTAGACGAAATACATACTCATCTATCTATCTAGCTATCGTGACCAGTCACGCGTTACGATGAGCTCTGCACTCACACATATGTTGAATGGGTCCCTGGACTCTAAACGCTGTAGCAGCGGTCTCCCCGTCTCAGTCCTGTCGCAGCGGTCTCCCCGCCTCAGTCCTGTCGCAGCGGTCTCCCCACCTCAGTCCTGTCGCAGCGGTCTCCCCGCCCCAGTCCTGTCGCAGCGGTCTCCCCGCCTCAGCCCTGTCGCAGCGGCCTCCCCACCTCAGTCCTGTCGCAGCGGTCTCCCTGCCTTCGTCCTGCCGCAGCGGTCTCCCTGCCTCAGTCCTGTCGCAGCGGTCTCCCTGCCTTCGTCCTGTCGCAGCGGTCTCCCCGACTCACGATCATGTTGCAGTCGTGCAGCTGCCTGATGGCGAACTCGTCGGCGGCGAACGGCGGGAAGTACTCGGGGTCGTCGGAGCACATCTGCAGGAACCGCTCCAGTCTCGCCGAACTGTGCTCTGGACCCTGCCGGCCGGGTCGGCGCAGGTCAGGTCAGCGCAGGTCAGGGCAGAGCAGGTCATGTCAGCGCAGGTCAGGGCAGAGCAGGTCAGGTCAGCACACAGGTCAGGTCAGCGCAGACCAGGTCAGCACAGGTCACAGCAGAGCAGGTCAGGTCAGCACAGGTCACTGCAAAGCAGGTCAGGTCAGCACAGGTCACAGCAGAGCAGGTCAGGTCAGCGCGGGTAAGGGCAGAGCGGGCCAGCCCAGATGGCAGGGCAAGGCAGGTAGGTCAAACCAGGTCGACACCGCGAGAGGCTGTCACGAGTCACAGTGCAAGCGAATGTGAGCCGTACAACCACATGACAGAAAACGCTCAGGCTCGAAACCTCATAATCGCGTCATCCACTCCCTCACGATCCCTTCCATTAAATGACATGAGCTACAAAACCAAGTGTAAAAGGCGCTTATGTGCCTAAATCGCCACCGTCAGATGACGCGGCCAGACACTAGAATATCTGGCATCTTGAAACCTGCAGCAGGTCAGCCCTGCTGAAAGGGCGGTGGCCGAGCGTGCTGCGCGCGTCGGTGCCCGGTGTCAGGGGTCACTCACCATGCCCTCCATGCCGTGGGGCAGCAGGAGCGTGAGGCCCGACTGCCGCACCCACTTCGCCTGGCCCGAGGCGATGAACTGGTCGATGATCACCTGGGGAGCGAGCGGCGGCGTCAGGCGGCTGTTAGCCCACGGCAGGTCAGGTGACACCGGCCCCGCTCCCCCAGCCGGCACCGCCTCGTCACCCGCTCGCGCGTCTGCAGCGGCGGCGTCAGACGGCTGTCAGCCCACGGCAGGTCAGGTGACACCGGCCCCGCTCCTCCAGCCGGCACCGCCCCGTCACCCGCCCGCACGTCTGCAGCGGCGTCGTCAGACCACTGTCATCCCACGGCAGGTGAGGTGACACCGGCCTCACTCCTCCAGCCGGCACCGCCCCGCCACCCGCCCGTGCGTCTGTAGCGGCGGCATCAGACCACTGTCGGCCCACGGCACAATACCGGCCCCTCTCCTCCAGCCGGCACCGCCCCGTCACCCGCCCGCACGTCTGTAGCGGCGGCGTCAGACGGCTGTTAGCCCACGGCAGGTCAGGTGACACCGGCCCCTCTCCCCCAGCCGGCACCGCCCCGTCACCCGCCCGCACGTCTGTAGCGGCGGCGTCAGACGGCTGTTAGCCCACGGCAGGTCAGGTGACACCGGCCCCACTCCCCCAGCCGGCACCGCCCCGTCACCCGCTCGCGCGTCTGCAGCGGCGGCGTCAGACGGCTGTCAGCCCACGGCAGGTCAGGTGATACCGGCGCCACTCCCCCAGCCGGCACCACCCCGTCACCCGCCCGCGCGTCTGTAGCGGCGGCGTTAGACTACTGTCGGCCCACAGCAGGTCAGGTGGCACCGGCCCCACTCCCCCAGCCGGCACCACCCCGTCACCCGCCCGCGCCACCGTCTACAAACGGCCACGTCTGTAGCGGTGAATCGGTATGCTGCCAAGTGTTGCAAGTTCAATATCCGTTACGATTTGAGTAAATGGTGTGAAAACAGCATCCAATAATATGAAATCCACATCCTTCAAGTCTTCACATTCTTTCTGGAAAGTTGCACTGAGCGCGAATGCAAGATTTTCCTTGTTCTGAATAAAAAAATAAAAGGATGTATTAAATCACAACTTGGAGGTGTGACATCAATTCCGACAAACGGCATCACTTGATCTGAATAACAATAACCATGTTTGGGACTATGTGACATTGTCATGTGACATTGTTTGGGCTACGTGACATTTGGCTACCGATAGATTTTGGGGCAAAAACACGTGCCACAATGCTCGGCACGGTCCATGCGGGCCTCTGACGTCATTTGCCCTTTAGCACGGCCGCTACGCCCGCCGCCACCCTGCTCTCCGCAACACATTACCTGCGCGGTGTTGCAGAAGTCGCCGAACTGCGCCTCCCAGCAGACCAGGGCATTCGGGTTGGTCAAACTGAAGCCGAGCTCAAAACCTGCCGCACAGATACCGGCGTCAGCCCATGGCGAACAGACAGCTGACGACGCGGCAACTCACACCATCCGCAGACACCGCCGGCGTCAGCCTATTGCGAACAGACAGCTGGCGACGCGGCATCTCACACCGTCCGCAGACACCACCGGCGTCAGCTCATGGCGAACAGACAGCTGGCGACGCGGAAACTCACACCATCCGCTGACCACCCCAGGCAGAGCCACCTAGCGGCAGCGGCTGACAACGCTCGCCGGCTAGCCGACCAATGATATCTACCACCGGACAGAAGAGCTGACGCAGTGAAAATGAAGAATACAACTGGCAAAACACCGAGACACGTACAGCGACGCGAACTGTTCGTCCCCTTTCTCATCCTCTCCAGGTGCCGACATGCCACAGGGCAGCTGCTTGATGGAGGGGCTTAATGCCGCACACGGCTCGCAGAACTCCCAGGCCCGGCAATGTCGGCCACTCCACCACCACGCCGAGCCCGCGCCCCGGAGTGTCGGCCACTCACCGAGCACTCCGAACTCGGAGAGTGACGAGTTGCAGACGGTGTACTGGGCCTGGTCGGGGTACAGGTAGCAGAGCGGTCGGTAGGTGGCCATGTCCACCTTCTGGTGATGCATCACGTGGTGACGGTGGCTGCGGGCGGAGGGGGCGGGGGCGGTGACGTCACACCTAGACCACCGGGCGGCCTCACACGGAGCAGGGCTGGCGTCCCAACCGGCCGCCGGGGGCTGCGGACACAGCCGTCATCACATTTGACGGTCATATTTCGCATTTCAGTTTCTTCCACTTCCGAAAACAACCTGGAAACTTAAACCTACCGAACGCCCACAAAATACTGACGACGACACCAAGTACTTATGCCAGTATGTTACATTCACGCATCTATCTGTATGTATTGTTTGGAGGTCAGGAGGTGACTGCGGTGCGGTGTCATCGCCCCGCCCAGGCAGGCCGTCACGAGCGGCAAGATCAGCCGACGAGGATGCTCCACCTTCTGACTGACTCGGAGGTGTCCCACTCACCTCCTGACTGACCTGAAGATACTTCACCTCCTGACTGACCTGACGGTGTTCCGCCCTACCTACTGACATAAAGATGCCCTGAGCCACCTCCTGATTTGACCTGAACATGCCCCGCCCCATCTCCTGACTGACCCGAAGGTGTCCTGCATCACCTCCTGACTGACCTGAAGGTCCCCCTTCCACGTCCTGACTGACCTGAGGGTGTCCCGCCCCACCTCCTAACTGACCTGAACATGTCCTGCCCCATCTCCTGATTGACCTGAAAGTACCCCTCCCCACCTTCTGACTGACCTGAGCATGCCCCGCCCCACCTCCTGACTGACCTGAAGGTGCCCCGCTCCACGTCCTGACCCGACAGGCGCACGTGGAAGCCCTCCTTGAGCAGCGAGCCGAACGCCATGGCCTCGGCCAGCGCCCAGTCGACGGTGCGCCCCTCCACCATCTCCATCCGGGAGTTGAGCACGCGCTGCAACGGCGGCAGCGGTGGCGGCGTCACCGCGCGGGGCGCAGACAGCTGGCGGCGCCCGGCGCGGACTGCCACACCTCCCCGTTAGCAGGTGGAGCGCCACCTGGCGGACTGTGGCAGCCAGCGCAGTCGCGGCGCCGACCGAGATCTGGTGCTGCGTGTTAACTGCGACCTTCATATAAATTATGTGCAGACGTCGCTTTGGTGCTGTCGTATGAGTGGGTGATGTACTTTCTGTGCTACTGGGGGACACCGATGAAAGTCATGACGACGAATCTCCATGCTCATGTAAATGAAATGTTAGTGACAGGAGTAGGGAACAATCGACGTCATTCCTTCCTCATCAGCTCCGCACGCCACGCTGAGACAATCGGCGCTTCATGCTCTCCGCCAACCGGCGCAGCTCCATCAAAATGATATAAAAACGGCGCGCGGGGATAACGCCCGCCACCCCGGCAATGCGGGCAATGCGCCATCAGCCCCGGCGGCGCCGCGTCCACCGGCGCCGGGCCCGCCGCTCCCACCTGCAGGCCGCGGTGGATGACGAAGTCGACGGCGTTGGGGGGCGCCGACGACACCCGCTTGCCGATGTGGGTGAGCGTCTCCTCCACCACGCCGGTCGGCGACATCTTCAGCGGGTCCTTGCCCTGGACGCGCGGACAGTGGAGGCAGGGCGTCAGTCGTCAGTCCGGGCACTGGACGCGCCTCCACCCGCTGGACGTGGGGCGCGCCGGTGGCAGCCGCACTAACTGACGCCGAGAGCTCCGTGGGAACAGGCCTATGTGACTCTCCAAACATCCAGCCAATAACCCTACATGAGACCACACATAACTGCGCTTCTTCGACATAAGTGTTCCAGGCAAGGGAAGCTTGTCAGCTACTGCAGTGCCTCTCCTCAGCCTCAGTCAGCCCTCTCCAGTCCTTTGCCTTGACCACAACGCCACTGTCTCCACACTTCCCAAACGCAACATCCACGGGGCGCAGCGTGCGTGCCACAGCAGCTTCAATTCTAAACCAGTTCTATCTCCTATCTAGCTCTTTATAGCTCCCGTATAGCTCCCCTATAATCCCTCAGGCCATAAGAGGAACCCGCGGTTCCAGCCTCTTGAGCAGCATCTGTCTTCATGTCCTCCCACCAGCACTCATCTATTATCATGCCACCGACAGAGCTCCAGCCTGCCCCAGCCTGGGCCGACTGACCTCGAAGAAGCCGGACCACGGGGAGTCAATCCAGTGTTTGTTGTAGATCTGCGTCTCCTTCTTGGAGGCCTCCAGCGCCTCCTCGCAGATCTTCTCGTACCGGTCGATCACGTCCTGGCCGGAGAGCAGCGTGACGTCACTTAGACGGCAGCTGTGACGTCACCGCCGACCAATCGGCGGGCTGGCGCGGGGGCGGCGCCCGCTGCTCGCGGCATTCGGCGCCGACCGCGCGGTGCGTCCGACACGACTCGCGGCCGTGTTTTGAGCAGCGTCGCCCGGGCCGGTGTGCGGGGATAGCCTCCGCCCCACGGCCGCTGGTCAGGGCTGGGGTCGATCTCACGACTGAACGCTGAGTTAGCCAGCCCCGGCACCTCCTCCACACGAGACGGGATCGCAGATTTGGACGCCGGGCAGGCGCCTGCTGGTTTCAGCACACCACGAGTTGCATTCCTGAACGGACGCTTCACTGATTTCCGGCACCACGGCACGCCGTCACCCCAAGTCTACGTAACTGCGACTACTCACAGCAGCAGCGGCTGCGCACGTCCTGCAGTTTTAGAGCGGCCACGGCAGAAAGGGAGGGGGAGGGGGGTCTTGTGCAGGAGGACGCTCTGCGCCCTTTCCAGGAAACCTGGTGCATCTACCTGCATGTGACCCGATGCTCCCGTCAGACCCTCACCTACCGCTGCCCCTCCCCGGCTCTGTCGCGCTTGTCCGTTAGTCACCTCTCCTTATAACAACTCCACTGCACAGCGTCGCGCCGGGCGTGGGACATTACCCCGGCCCGGCACACGGTGCCGCGCGGGGCGGCGCCGCCGGCCTGAGCGGGGCCGGGGCGCGCGGGGCCGGCGGACGACCGTGAACCCGGCGACACGGCGGCGCCCCCGGTTAGCGTAAGCGGCCGCCAGCACTCCGCTGGGACACAAGCGACACACGACATAGTTACTGCCTCGTTCACGGGGACCGCTGGCCAGCCTACCCTCTGAAAACAGAGCGGCGTGAGAGAACGAGCTCATCCTCGGACCTGTGGAGCGAACCGACAGCCAGAGGTGCCCTGGACATCGGCGGAGATGTCCAGGGCGCCTCCGGCATCGGCGGAGAGCTGGCGCCGTCCACGCTCCATCCTGACATGAAATGTGTTCACGCATTTTGCAATCTGGTAGGGTTGCCTGCAAGTGCCTGCCAGGCAGCCTTTGAATCAGACGTATGCAGTGTGCATGACCCTGCTGACCATGAGGTACACCCCAGAGTCTGCCACAGGTGTACACGCTCCAACCAGTTCAGCGACACTGAGACACGTCAAGATCCACTAGTCACTACCACCCGTGCCGTAAAGCGCGCTGGCGACCTTGACCTTACCTTGACTTCTTCGGCGTTGACGGTGCCCTCGTCAATCAGCTTCTGAGCGTACTTCTCGGTGATGTTGGGCATCTTGCGAATCTTGTTGTACATGAACGGATGGGTGAACATGGGCTCGTCTATCTCGTTGTGGCCGTTGCGCCGGTACGAAACCTGGAAACGGCCCGGACACGTTACAGACCCGACGGTCCACGGTCTATGTACAGCGGTGATGGTCTGTGGGACAGACCGGCAGGGGCCGGACACGCTACAGACCGCCGGCCGAGGGCGATGGTCTGTGAGACGATGGTCTGCGGCGATGGTCTGTGAGACGATGGTCTGCGGTGATGATCTGCGGGCTGTGGGACGATGGTCAGCGGTGATGGTCTGTGGGACGATGGTCCGCCGTGATGGTCTGAGGGACGATGGTCTGCGGTGATGGTCTGTGGGACGATGGTCTGCGGTGATGGTCTGTGGGACGATGGTGACCGATGATGGTCTGTGGGACCATGGTCTGCTGTGGTGGTCTGCAGGACGATGGTCAGCGGTGATGGTCTGTGGGACGATGGTCACCGATGATGGTCTGTGGGACCATGGTCTGCTGTGGTGGTCTGCAGGACGATGGTCAGCGGTGATGGTCTGTGGGACGATGGTCACCGATGATGGTCTGTGGGACCATGGTCTGCTGTGGTGGTCTGCAGGACGATGGTCAGGGGTGATGGTCTGCGGGACGATGGTCAGCCGTGATGGTCTGTGGGACGATGGTCGTCGGTGAGGGTTTGTGGGACGGACCGGCTGGGGCCGGACGCGCTACAGACCCGACGGCCGAGGGTCATGGCCTGTGGGACGATGGTCTGCGTTGATGGTCTGTAGGACAGACCAGCTGGGGCCGGCGGTGGACCAGGGCAGGCTCAGGTCACAACGGATTACGATAGGGTGATGGCGATGAACCCCTGCACAGCTCCGCACCAGGACAAACGGTGACCAAATCCTTACCAAGTAACCACCCTGCCACGCACGGAAGCACACGCAACACCACACAGCCCGAGCTGAGGCATCACAGCGCACATGCAGCATGATGATTGGAGGTGAAGGGCTCGCCGAAGTCGCAGGCCATTTTGCGCCCAGCGCGCGTGCAGGAACGCATGCTGCGGAGACAAAGCTCAACACGCCGACAAAATATCGTCCCGATGTCAAGCAGCAGCCCCTGCCGGGTGACAGCATCTGACTGTTAAAACGCACCGCTGTGTTCTCACACTGACGCGATCCATCCCTGGTAGCGCTGGCACCCGCCTCAACCGCCTAGCATCAGCCTCTGTTTCTCAGACGGCCGACATCAGCCGCCGTCGCCCAGACGGCCGACATCAGCCGCCGTCCCCCAGACAGCCGACATCAGCCGCCGTCCCCCAGACAGCCGACATCAGCCGTCGTCCCCCAGACAGCCAACATCAGCCGCCGTCCCCCACACGGCCGACATCAGCCGTCGTCCTCCAGACAGCCAACATCAGCCGCCGTCCCCCAGACGGCCGACATCAGCCGCCGTCCCCCAGACGGCCGACATCAGCCGCCGTCCCCCAGACGGCCGACATCAGCCGTCGTCCCCCAGACGACCGACATCAGCCGCCGTCCCCCAGACGGCCGACATCAGCCGCCGTCCCCCAGACGGCCGACATCAGCCGCCGTCCCCCACACGGCCGACATCAGCCGCCGTCCCCCAGACGACCGACATCAGCCGCCGTCCCCCAGACGGCCGACATCAGCCGTCGTCCCCCAGACGGCCGACATCAGCCGCCGTCCCCCACACGGCCGACATCAGCCGCCGTCCCCCACACGGCCGACATCAGCCGTCGTCCCCCAGACAGCCAACATCAGCCGCCGTCCCCCACACGGCCGACATCAGCCGTCGTCCTCCAGACAGCCAACATCAGCCGCCGTCCCCCAGACGGCCGACATCAGCCGCCGTCCCCCAGACGGCCGACATCAGCCGTCGTCCCCCAGACGACCGACATCAGCCGCCGTCCCCCAGACGGCCGACATCAGCCGCCGTCCCCCAGACGGCCGACATCAGCCGCCGTCCCCCAGACGGCCGACATCAGTCGTCGTCCCCCAGACGACCGACATCAGCCGCCGTCCCCCAGACGGCCGACATCAGTCGTCGTCCCCCAGACAGCCAACATCAGCCGCCATCCCCCAGACGGCCGACATCAGTCGTCGTCCCCCACACGGCCGACAACAGCCGCCGTCCCCCAGACGGCCGACATCAGCCGCCGTCCCCCAGACGGCCGACATCAGCCGCCGTCCCCCAGACGACCGACATCAGCCGCCGTCCCCCAGACGGCCGACATCAGCCGCCGTCCCCCAGACGGCCGACATCAGCCGCCGTCCCCCAGACGGCCGACATCAGCCGCCGTCCCCCAGACGGCCGACATCAGCCGCCGTCCCCCACACGGCCGACATCAGCCGCCGTCCCCCAGACGGCCGACATCAGCCGCCGTCCCCCAGACGGCCGACATCAGCCGCCGTCCCCCAGACGGCCGTCCCCAGACGGCCGACATCAGCCGCCGTCCCCCAGACGGCCGACATTAGCCGCCGTCCCCCAGACGGCCGACATCAGCCGCCGTCCCCCAGACGGCCGACATCAGCCGCCGTCCCCCAGACGGCCAACATCAGCCGCCGTCCCCCAGACGGCCGACATCAGCCGCCGTCCCCCAGACGGCCGACATCAGCCGCCGTCCCCCAGACGGCCGACATCAGCCGTCGTCCCCCAGACGGCCGACATCAGCCGCCGTCCCCCAGACGGCCGACAACAGCCGCCGTCCCCCAGACGGCCGACATCAGCCGCCGTCCCCCAGACGGCCAACATCAGCCGCCGTCCCCCAGACGGCCAACATCAGCCGCCGTCCCCCAGACGGCCGACATCAGCCGCCGTCCCCCAGACGGCCAACATCAGCTGCCGTCCCCCAGACGGCCGACATCAGCCGCCGTCCCCCAGACGGCCGACATCAGCCGCCGTCCCCCAGACGGCCAACATCAGCCGCCGTCCCCCAGACGGCTGACTCCCCGCCCAAAAGCACTGATAATGCTGGGATACTGCTCTCGATACGGTATCAGGAAAGGCCGCGCGCATCACTACCGCCGGTGAGAGGCTGCTGAGAGTCCCTGACGCGAGCCGAGCCCAACACTCCGCCATCAGCTTACGATGTCGATGACGACGTCCTTGTGGAAGGTGTTGCGCCACTCGGCGGCGATCTTGCACACGTGCATCACAGCCTCCGGGTCGTCTCCGTTGACGTGGAAGATGGGGGCGTTCACGACGCGCGCCACGTCCGTACAGTAGGGCGACGAGCGGGTGAGGCGCGGGTCGGTGGTGAAGCCGATCTGAGGGCACAGGGTCAGACAAGGTCAGATGGGGTCAAGGTCAACGGAGGATCGGTGGCGAACCCGATCTTGAAGGCCCGGGATATATATATATATATATATATATATATATATATATATATATATATATATGAAAAATATACCCATCATGACAGCAGTGATGAAAGATGTGTCGGCAACATGAGCGCAAGCCGTTGCGTCGACGGCGGCTGCCCCGGCCGCGCTGACCCTGCCCCCGGTCCTCACCTGGTTGTTGACCACGATGTGGATGGTGCCGTGGGTGGTGTAGGCGGGCAGGTCGGACAGGTGAATCGTCTCGTACACCACGCCCTGGCCCGAGAAGGCCGCGTCGCCGTGCAGCAGGATGGACATGGCCTGCGGGCACCGTCACGGTCAGGGTCAGGTCACAGGGTCAGGTTCAGCCGGACACGGACAGAACGTCAACTCAGAGACGCCTTGAACAACTCGGGCGAACCTACATTCACATAGTGAACGTGGCGGTCTATGGCGAAAACGGAATGTAGCAAGCGAGGAACAAGGGGAGAAAGCCAAGGAACAACGGCAAAAAACGCTCCCTTCTTTGACAATCAATTGCCTGCCGCCGGGAAGCCCAATCGCCAATGGCCTGGCGAAGACGGGCCACCATCCACGACTCCCGCTAGACCCAGTGACCCATCACCTGCAGTGCTGCAGTACTCTGCAGTGTCCCGCTAGACCCAGTGACCCATCACCCGCAGTGCTGCAGTACTCTGCAGTGTCCCGCTAGACCCAGTGACCCATCCCCGCAGTGCTGCAGTACTCTGCAGCGTCAGTACACCCATCCACCCCCGCCGCCGGCGGCTCCCTCCCGTCCGCACAGCCGCCGCCCCGGGGCCCCGAGCCGCACGCACCTTGTTGCCGTCGTTGTCGCCCCTGTAGAACTGCTCGGCCTTGGTCTTGCCCTGCACCACCGGGTCGACGGCCTCCAGGTGGGACGGGTTGGCCACGATGGCCAGCCGCACATTACGGTTGGTCAGCCGGTTCAGCCGCTCGATGTACGTGCCCAGGTGGTACTTGACGTCACCGGAGCCCTGGCCGCGCAGGAGGGAAACGTCACAGACGCCGCCGTCCACACGTGGCCCGGCGGGACAGCCAGAGGTCTGGCGTTCGATTCCCGCGGGGGGAAACTTTCGCCGGCGACGGCTTCTGCCCAGAGAGCAGGCGGTGATCACATTAGCAGTTACGTGCGTTCATAGATACCAGACCTATTCTGCTATGGCATATTACTGTTGTTATGACCTGGCCACGTACAGCCGCCAGTAAGACGTCACCAGAACGTCTGGCACTGGTGACGTCATCAAAATGCCCGGTACGAGTGACGCCACCAGAGTGCCTGGTACGGGTGACGTCACCAGAGTGCCTGGTACAGGTGACGTCATCAGAGTGCCTAGCACGGGTGAGGTCAAGGAAGTGTCAGGTACAGGTGACGTCATCAGAGTGCCTGACACTGAGAGGTTACGGGAGTGTCCGGCAGGGGTGATGGCGGCCGGTGACCGGGCGATCTGCCAGCCAGCCCGCCTCACCTCATCGGCCACCTCCAGCGCGGCGAACTGGGCGAAGATCTGCTCCAGCGGCTTCCGGCACACGTTAGCCAGCACGTTCAGACGGCCGCGGTGAGGCATGCCTGCCACAGGGCGGAGAGAGCGGGGTCAGACGGCGAGGGACCGATCTCAGGGGCGCGGGAACGATCTCAGGGGCGCGGCGCGGGGCCAATCTCAGGAGCGTGAGACCGATCTCAGAAGCGCGGCGTGAGGCCGATCTCAGGAGCGTGAGACCGATCTCAGAAGCGCGGCATGAGACCGATCTCAGGAGCGTGAGACCGGTCTCAGCAGCGCGGCGCGGCTGTCATCATACTCTGTCGATCTCATGGCATGCCACGACCATCCAAAACACCAGCCACCAGTCTGCACCACCGCAACGGCGGCGAAACCAGTCCTGACGCCATACCGTCCACAGATCCATCGCCCCTCGCAAGCACAGCAGAGCAACAGCCAGCGGCGGCAGCACCGGCGCCAGCGGCGGCAGCACCAGCGCCAGCGGCGGCCACTCAGCGACAGCGTCTCACCCATGACGAACGACTCGACGCCCATGGCGGACGAGACGTCGATGATGTGCTTCATGGCCGGGATCAGCACCTCGCCGCCCTCCAGGCCGAACCGTTTCTCCGAGGAGAACTTGCGCGCCAGGAACGACTCCAGCCTGCCGGCGCAGACGGCGGCGGCGTGATAACGCGTGTCAGCAAGGCCGGCGGGGGGGGGGGGGGGGCGCAGATGGCGCAGAGGCCGGCGGCGTGATAACGCACCGCCGGCCTCGGAGACGCGTGACAGCAAGGCCGGAGGGGTGCAGAGGGCGGTGGCGTGGTGACGCAAGATGGCGCAGAGGGCGGCGGCGTGGTGACGCACCGCCGGCCTCGGAGACGCGTGTCAGCGAGGCCAGAGCGGCGCAGATGGCGGCGGCGTGGTGACGCACCGCCAGCCTTGGAGACGCGTAACAGCGCGGAAGGAGGGGTGCAGAGGGCGCAGAGGGCGGCGGCGCGTTGACGCACCGCCGGTCTCGGAGACGCGTGACAGCGCGGAAGGAGGGCGCGGGCGGCGCCCTGCGCACAGCGCCGCACATGGGTGGTCCTCCGTACCGGACATTAGGACTACACCGGACATTAGGACTACAACGGACATTAGGACGACACCGGACATTAGGACTACACCGGACATTAGGACGACAACGGACATTAGGACGACACCGGACATAGGACTACACCGGACATTAGGACTACACCGGACATTAGGACCACACCAGACATTAGGACCACACCGGACATAAGGACTACACCGGACATTAGGACTACACCGGACATTAGGACTACACCGGACATTGGGACTACAACGGACATTAGGACGACAACGGACATTAGGACTACACCGGACATTAGGACTACACCGGACATTAAGACCACACCAGACATTGGGACTACAACGGACATTAGGACTACACCGGACATTAGGACCACACCGGACATTAGGACTACAACGGACATTAGGACCACACCGGACATTAGGACTACAACGGACATTAGGACGACACCGGACATTAGGACTACACCGGACATTAGGACGACAACAGACATTAGGACGACACCGGACATAGGACTACACCGGACATTAGGACTACACCGGACATTAGGACTACACCGGACATTAGGACTACAACGGACATTAGGACGACACCGGACATTAGGACTACACCGGACATTAGGACGACAACGGACATTAGGACGACAACGGACATTAGGACGACACCGGACATAGGACTACACCGGACATTAGGACTACACCGGACATTAGGACCACACCGGACATAAGGACTACACCGGACATTAGGACTACACCGGACATTAGGACTACACCGGACATTGGGACTACAACGGACATTAGGACGACAACGGACATTAGGACTACACCGGACATTAGGACTACACCGGACATTAAGACCACACCAGACATTGGGACTACAACGGACATTAGGACTACACCGGACATTAGGACTACACCGGACATTAGGACTACACCGGACATTAGGACCACACCGGACATTAGGACTACAGCGGACATTAGGACCACACCGGACATAAGGACTACAACGGACATTAGGATTACACCGGACAGGACTACACCGGACATTAGGACTACAACGGACATTAGGACCACACCGGACATTAGGACTACAACGGACATGAGGACTACATCGGCCATTAGGACTACAACGGACATTAGGCGCAGACGTGGGTTTTGGCTCTGACGGCAGCTCAGAAAGCCGCTAGTGGGGCTTCTCCAGCCTGAACATTGCCACAGGTAGACTGCAAACACAAATCACAGCCAGCCCCAGAGGCGACCACAACCTGAGCAGAATAGCACCAATCAGCAAACGCCACACACAAACACATAACACAACGAGCCCCAATGCTTGTATGCCACGCCCAACAACGTCCCAACTCATGCACGGTGTTCCAGTAGCGCCTAAGCCATGGTGACCCTGCTGTAATCGCTGTGTCCATGAGGTGCACTGCCAGGTCAAACGTTTTCTCGCCCGCTCGGGGTTGGCAGCTGAACGGAATTACTGCGAGCGGCTCATCACGGGCACTGGAGAGTACTTCGAGAATTGTTGCGTATGTCCGAGCATAAAAGATGCTAGGAAGGTAACTTAAAAGACGAAAAAGTTACCGTGCACCTTGTTTTTCGATGCGGTTTTGTTGGTCCTGGGTCAGCGCTATTTGATGACATTGGAGACGTACTGCGAATTTGGCACGGCCCATAAGGCAGCACTCTTCCCTGCCGTGTTGTAACCGCGTCTGCCAAGATCCTCCAACTTTGGTAATAATTTAATTTGGACAACGTTATTGATATCATTCAGAAAAGCGCATCATGACAGCTTCTTCGCTATGCCCCTCCCCCCCCCCCCCCCTCCATCCCCCCCTTCCCTGTGCACCGGCGCCCAGCTATCCTCCACCAGCGGACGCCCTGGCCAGCTGCCAGCTGCCAGCTGCCAGCTGCCGGCTGCCGGCGGCGGCGGCGGCGGCGGCGGCCCGACTCACCCGCTGGCCCGAGCGACGCGCGCCAGGATCAGCCGCTTCTCGTCGTTGCTGAACTGCATGATGCCGGGCGTCTCGATCTTGTGCCGGATCCAGTTGCACTGCTCCAGGTCGTTGATGTACATGTACTCGACGCCGATGCTCCTGTCGGCCCCAGGCAAGTGTACATGTACTCGACATCGATGCCCTTGTACTCCAGGCAGATGTACCCATGACCCCAGGCAGATGTACATGTACTCGACACCGATGCTCCTGTCGGCCCCAGGCAGATGTACATGTACTCGACATCGATGCCTTTGTCGGCCACAGGCAGATATACATGTACTCGACACCGATGCCGCTGTCGGCCCCAGGCAGCGGACGTGGTCTACACACCGATGCCCCCATAACACAAGCTGTTGATCAATAGTGTGATCATTCCGCCGTGCGAACACCAGCCGTGAAGCAGCATCCGCCGGCGGATTCACCAGCGCCAAAAGACCTGCAACCCTGCAATCAGCTGGCTCATCCATGACGATGCAGCCGCATCACAAAAACGCGGCCCGGGATCGTGATCAAGGGCGTGCTCTTAAATATTCCAAGACGATCCGGGATCCACGTCGGGATCACACCACCGAGGGTCCGAAACAAACGATCCTGTGTGTCACTCGATGCCACGTCCAGCCCCGGGGCGGCAGCCAGGGTGGGCGCGCGGCCACGCTGCGGGAGGCGGCTGCTCGGCGCCCGTACCGGCAGTACGCCTGCTCCAGGCGGTCGACGATCTCGCGGAGAGGCAGCGCCTTCTGGCTGCCGCCGATGAAGGTGGAGGAGGGCAGCTGGAACACCGTGTCCATGTCCTCCTCGTCTGCGGACCAGGCAGCCCGTCAGCGACGGCCGCGTCCTCCGCCAGACGGCGGCGCCACCGGCGACGTGGTCCTGATCACCGCTCAACAGCGCCACCCCTCCAGCAGGACCCGTCCCCCGCCGGTGCTGGCGGCCACGGCGCCACCCCTCCTGCACGTGTCCCCCAGCCGGTGTTGGCGGCCACGGCGCCACCCCTCCTGCACGGCCCCGCGTCCCCCGCCGGTGTTGGCGGCCACGGCGCCACCCTTCCAGCAGGGCCCGTGTCCCCCCGCCCCCGCCGGTGTTGGCGGCCACGGCGCCACCCCTCCTGCCTGGACCCGTGTCCCACGCCGGTGTCGGCGGCCACGGCGACCAAGGCCCAGTCGGCAGGACTTAGTACGCCGCGGCTTAACGCCCGACGATCCCCGTTACACCAACGCCGGCGGAGACTGGGCTGCGGGGGAGGTCCCACTCGGCAGGCGCACCACATCTCACTCGTGAGGACCGGCACAGACAGCCGTCACACATCTGATCCGCCGGCGCCGTTCACTCCGGCTAGATCAGAGAGCACGCCGCCGCCGGTGTGGCGCCCGAGACCCGCGCCGCCGCGGCGGGCGTGGACGCCTCGGACCACGGACAGAGGGCGGCGAGGCGACACGTACCGAAGTTCTTCATGTAGCCCCTGACGACGATCTCAGAGGCGGTCTCCACCGGCTTGCGCTCGATCTCCAGCGGGTCCAGCCGCGCCACTAGGTGGCCACGAATCTGGGACACGAGGTCAGAGGTCAGACACAGGTCACCAGCCGCGCCACTAGGTGGCCACGAATCTGGGACGCGAGGTCAGAGGTCGGAAGGAATTGTCAGATGTAACAGGTCGTCAGCAAAATAAGAACTCACAAGCTAAGATCAGGTTGCGCAGGTTTTAATGCCGTTAACGGGCGCCATTCATTCCCAATTGTGTCTTGGACCAAAAAAAACGCCTTCTACCCACCAACAAGGCACGATAGCTCCTGGAACATGCGGCAGTCTTCTGTGCTTACCCGGTGCACATCACCAGGGCTCACGTCAGGGGTCAGGGGTCACCACCCAACGTCATGGCACAAGCCGGGTTACCACAGAAGCCCAGCCCAAGCGAAAGACCCCCCATACTTCTTCATGACTTCTCCTGTCATCTCCTGACACCTCCTGATGTCTCCTTACACCTCCTGACGTCTCCACCTGAGCGACCGGCCGCCGCTCCGGTCCTCACCTGATAGCTCCTAATGACGCCCACCACGCTGAGGTGATCGGCGATGGTGTTCTCGCTGACGGCCATGCCGGGCAGGCTGGCACGGCCACCCTTCGGCACGAGCGCCGACACAGGCAGCGAGTTGGCAGACGGCGCTGCCAGCGACGGCGGCGCGATATAGGCGGCGCCCGGCCCGGCGCCGCCCGCCGCCCGCGAGAAGTACGCGTCCCACGACTGCGGAGAGGAGAAGGCGGGGTGAGGGGCGAGGCAGATGGCGCGGTAAGAGGGGCGTGAGGGGCGGGGCGGGGCGGAGCAGATGGTACGGTGGGGGGCGTGAGGGGCGGGGCGGGGCAGATAGCACAGCGAGGGGGGCGTGAGGGGCGGGGCGGGGCGGGGCAGACGGCGCGGTAAGGGGGGCATGAGGGGCGGGGCGGGGCAGAAAGCACAGCCACGGAGGCATGAGGGGCGGGGCGGGGCAGACGGCGCGGTAAGATGGGCGTGAGTGTCAGGTCGGCGCGGGTCCTCCGGCGCGGTGACCGGCGGCGGACTCCCCAGCCGCTCCATCCGGAGCGAACCACCGGCTCCTCCGGCGCAGACCGACGAATGTAACAGCACACAGCTGGCCACATCACACCCCGTCCACACAGCACCGCCTGCGCTCGTGACCGGTCGTCACGCCACAACCCGGCAGCCCGGCACGGGACAGCGCGGCCGTACGGCAAGAGCTGGCACACAGTAACGGCTGTTGTGTCGTCAGCACGGTCACGTGAGCTGCACTGGAGCCGCCTTACCGGCTGTCGTGACGGCCAGGTCCCGGATGGATAAAAACACGATAAAGTCTACGCCGCGAGTATTTTTCGCGTGCCACACATGTGGATATATACCAGCACACAGAGTGGTCTTCGACTGTTTATTTGGAGGGGCCCCTTTCAGCGGCAGAGGATCGAGCCGGCGGCTCTGTTCGTTGAGCGGTTGTGATACGGCGCGTCATGCTGCTGGCAGCACGTCACCATCACAGACCGTCGGATGCTACAACAGCCACGGTCACGCCGAGCGATGGGCCTGACATGCCACTGTGGCCCAGGCATAAAAGAAAACAGTAACTTCGACGAGGCATTTCATAAACGACGGCCAGGAACCATAAGCGGGGTGACCGCCGATGCGATGAAGTTTTAGGAATAGGACGAAATCCAGAGCACCACATATGGGACTAGAATTGCACGACGAATGTTAAGTGATATCCCCGTCCTTAAGGATCTGACTAGCGAGCTTTATGACAGGCTAACGATAGCGCGGGGACGTCCACATAGATCCATGAAACAACCACATAGCTTACTGCGACCGTCTTGATTTCTAGAGAAATAGGCAGCACAGCACACGAAACGTAATCATCTGAATCCTGCTGCATAAAATAAGACATGTATAGTAATTGGCACAGGTATCGTCAATATCAACTCAGCTAACAACTGACTCGTTAATTCTGCTTACATGAACACATGAAATGGCATTATCGCTAATTTGATGACGGTAGTTCAAAAGTTCCCTTCATAATACAGCACCGCATTTCAGACAACCGCTGAGAGCGAGTCTAGTCAATCCTTGCTCGCACGCCCAACCTCCCAGCCGGCGGACGGTGTCCCCAACAATAGAGACCCTGCCACCGATCGGCCCGGCAGACCACGTGACGGCGGCGGCCGGCCGCGGCACACACCACGTGACCGGCCGCTGGCGGCGGCGGCGACCGGTATTTTTACATTGGCACTGGGCCGGGCCGGGCCGAGACAGCTCGCAAGTGAAGCACCGACCTGACCCGACCGACCGGCCGACCGACGGACCGACGGACCGACCGACCGACGGACCGACGGACCGACGAGCCGGCGCAGACAATGGCCGAGCAGGGCACGCGCGACCGGAGGCGGCCACCATTCTGCACGCGACGACCGGGCCTGGGAGCACGTCCGGCTGCAGCAGACAATGCCCGTGCCTAGCAGATCAACCGCCTGTTTGGTTTCAGCACTCTCAGCGCTGCTTGAGGAGTATGAGTCGTATTTTTGTGACTTGTTTTTGCTGCCGTGTTACTTATTACGATGTCTGTCAACGATGAATCATTCCTCCGTAGACAGGCTCAAGTTGTTTTATGACCTAATGTAAAACCTGGAGTACGTTCTCGGCTGTTTTATTGCCCAAGTCACGATGTCGCAACGACGCCAGAACACCAGCCAGCTGAGCCGGAAACACCGCAGTCATAACTGGGTCATCCCCGGGCGGCCTGTACCAGTCGGCGGGGGACGGTGCCCACAGTCCGACCCGCTTCACCACAGCCCCGGCGCCTCACGGCGGCCGCCCACGCCGCCCATGCCGTCAGCGGCCGGCCCCGCCTCTGCGGCGTTATCTGGCGGCGGTGACCTGGCCTTCGGAGGCCGGGCCGGGCTCTCCGGAGGCGGGGCACGTCCGAGGTCACGCCGCCCTCCGTCAGGCGGCGCGACGCGGCCCGGACAGGGGCCTGGCGCAGCGCCCAATGTCACCACGGCCCGGACGCGAAGGGAGGGAGCGCCGGGGAGCTGGCGGGGCGGCCGCCTCAGCCGGTCACCGCTGAACACCCCTCAGCCTTACACCCCTCAGCCTCAGCCTCAGCCCCAGCCCCAGCCCCAGCCCCAGCCTCAGCCTCAGCCTCAGCCTCAGCCTCAGCCTCAACCTCAGGCCCAGCCTCAGCCTCAGCCTCAGCCTCAGCCTCAGCCTCAGCCTCGTCGTTACACATACGCACGCCTATCGCGTGGCTGATCTCACCATCGGACGTGCCGAACGCCCCCGGGGAAGTCGGGGCCGCCGCAGCGGTATCGCTAAATAGCTGCCGTGCGAGGCGTCGACTGGACGGCAGCGACGCTCGGCTCCCCTTCCAGCTCTGATCGCTCAACGACGTCGGCCACGCTGGGCACTCAATGCGAAGCCGCCCAACCGCCCGCATAACGCTGTGTACGGCTGAGAGCTGGCGCTGAGACCGCTTACGATCCCTGTATGGACCATCAGAGGCAGCCAGCAGCCAAGGTCGGTCCATATAAGCCGCAGGAAGCAGCATTGCTGCCGCGACATCGTCAATCATCAGCGGAAGCCTTCAGTCTCCCGGACGCCTTCTGATAAGGAGGGAGTGTCAAGCTTCGTGAGCGATGTAAGCCCTCTTCTACCCTCCGCCGGCGGCCACGCAGAGCCTCTGGCGCCGGACAGGGACCGGTCCACGGCACGAGTGGCGCCGCGACACTATCAGCGCCGGCCGGGAGCTCGCGGCCCGGCGACGGCTCGCTCCGTACCCCCCGCCTCGTCCCACGCCACGCGCCGGCCGCCGTCGCCCGGCCTGCGCCAGCTGACACCGGCCGCCGGGGATGGCTGACAGCTGGCCGGCCCCGGCCCGGTAGAGCGCCGCCTCCGCTCGGGCTGTCCCCGCGGCCGACGACCGCGTGACTCTGTCGCAGGCACCGACTCTGCCTGCACTGTGGCGCACAGTGTCGAACTTAGAGATTTCGGGTGGATAATGACGCTTGAATGGACGATTTTCATCCGTCAGTTTTAGACTCGCCACAATTTCAGGTTGACAATCAACAACTTAATTATTCGCTGACTGCACTTTCCTTTGCGCCTGTGGTGGATACCTGTCTATATCCGTGGCATCTTTTGCTGAGGCGGTTTTGGCACAATGACCTTCGTGTGGCACGTGCCTGACCACTTAAACCGCGCGCACTCGCTGGCGGCTGTGACGCCGGGTGCCACTGCCGGCATCCACGGCAGGTGGCCTGCTCGGTCTGCCTGTTCACCGTCCTCCAACAGGTCGCTTCAGGCAGGTTCCCCTAAGGCGAAACAGATACCTCCTCCCGGCTACGGGCGCGCCTCGCGTCGGGACCAACGCGGGGCGATCGGTGGTAGAGCAAGCCATTCGCTCCCAAGATACAAGGGAGGCTGATACACTGATAGATAGATAGACAGTATGTGGAGTAGAGGTTGGCATACTTGCGATGGAGTTGGTACAAGTTGTATACATTGTATTATGCATGCTAATGCTAGGTTTTAGTTTGCAATGACGAGCTACAACAACTGAAAAACCGAATGCAAAACTGAGTTGATGCCAGAAAACCAGACCGTACTAAGGTCTGAGTTTTACTTATCAAAGTAAACGTCTTTGATGTGACCGTACACAACAGACCACGGGCAAAACAGCCCCGAAACCAGGCCACATTCCAAAGGTCCAAAGTATACGCCAGAGTTCAAATAGATCATCTGCCAACATAAATATTGTTATGCCGACCAGCTCGTGCGAGGTCAAGGTCAACCCTAGACACGGTGGAGCCGACAGCACTGGCAGCCGTCCTCAGACATCACGCCGTGTGTATCGTAACTCCGCTCTCCGGCGTGGTGAGTAGGGTGGCCCAACTATTCAGACATCGCGCCGCGTGTATAGTGACTCCGTTTTCCGGCGTGGTGAGTGGGGAGGCCCAACCGTTCAGCCATCACGCCGTGTGTATCGTAACTCTGCTCTCCGGTGTGGTGAGTGGGGTGGTCCAACTGTTCAGACATCACGCCGTGTGTATCGTAACTTTGCTCTCCGGTGTGGTGAGTGGGGTGGTCCAACTGTTCAGACATCACGCCGTGCGTATAGCAACTCCTCTCTCCGGCGTGGTCAGTAAAGCGGCCTAACTGTTCAGACATCACGCCGTGTGTATAGTAACTCCGCTCTCCGGCGTGGTGCGGTGGCCCAACTGTTCAGACATCACGCCGTGTGTATAGCAACTCCTCTCTCCGGCGTGGTGCGTGGGGTGGCCCAACTGTTCAGACATCACGTCGTGTGTACAGCAACTCCACTCTCCGGCGTAGTGAGTGGGGTGGCCCAACTGTTCAGACATCACGCCGTGTGTACAGTAACTCCGCTCTCCGGCGTGGTGAGTGGGGTGGCCCAACCGTTCAGACCTCACGCCTTGTGTATAGTAACTCCGCTCTCCAGCGTGGCGAGTGGGGCGGCCCAACTGTTGCACTCAGTCCATCCTAGCCGGCCGGGTCCCGACGGCGACTACTGGTGCTGGACTACAACACGTCTCAACTGTCATGGCGCCCCACGCGGCACGTGTGCCAGACTCCAAGACTCCAGTGGCCGGCCAATGATCCCCATAGAACAGCGTGCGTCCCACTGGGCGGCCCGGTGACGTCACCGGACGCGCCGCGGGCGTGACGTCACTCACCGCGTGCACGGCAGCCGGGTCTCGCAGCCACTGGACGTACATCTCCTCGACGTAGCTGGAGGATGTGCCGTTGATGAAGGGTTCTGCGGCGGCGGCGCTGGCGGCCGGCGGCGGCGGCGCCGCGCTCCGGCAGCGGGCCGGGGTGACGAACAGCGTCGGCAGCTGCCGGCCCCGCCAGCCGGCCAGCTGCAGCTGCAGCTGCCGCAGCGTCCGGGCTCGGTGCATGGCCGGCAGACGGCTGATGGGGGGTGGTCGTCAGTCCCGCACACAGGAGCACAGGCTAGTGATGGAGGCAGGGACACGAGAACAGATGGGGAAACACAGGTATGGAGGCCGAGACAGTGGCATATGCAGGAGTGGTCAAGGACACAACAAAACAGATGCAACCAAAGGCAAGGATGCTGAGACTGGTGCAGTGGTGGTGGCAGAGATGGAACAGGAAGTGAAACACAACAGCAGTAACCAATGGAAAAAACAATACACAGGAACAGAAATTGATATATCCAGGGCCAAAAATATTGCCAAGATGAAGGTAACTAGTAAAAAAGATGTAAGAGAAACATAATACGAAACAAACACATAAGGGTAGCTAAAGCCAAAGTCTAAAGCTAAAGTCTGTCCCAGAGGCCCAGTTGGTTAGAGCGCCTGCATTCCGATCCCCCCACCCGTGGCAGGGTGGGCTCCAGTCGCTTTAGGATGCTCCCTATTTGCCCTTGACAGGTATGGCCTGCGGCCGCTAGCGGTCCCGCTAAAGATCAGCTGATGTCAGGGGGTGGGACAGACCCTACCGAGCATTGCGGCATGTTAAGCTTTCGCCACTAAATTCTGCTGTTGCCTGGAATTGTGTGATTGGATGGTGGGGGTCAGGGCTCACACAACAAGCACTGCTTAAAGTGAGCACTGATCCCAGAAATCCATCCATTCAAAGGGTTTGGGTCAAATTTCTAAAAAAGAAAAAAAACATAGATCAAACAGACAAAGCTACATATATTAATGCACATAGTCTTGTCTCCAGCCCTTGTCAGACACATTCATGTAACATAATAGAAGATAGCCACAACAACATACTTAGATACAACATAACTGTGGCACTGAGTGGAACAAAGCAGTATTGCCATCATTAACAGCTTGGTTAAGCATGAATGCATTTGCTTTTCTACAGAACCTCATCATTCGGAAAGGCCACAATAGGTATGGCAAGAGAAAATGACATGGCAAAGATAACAGCAGTCAACATACAACTATAAATTGATGGGACTAACAGCTCTGCCTGATAACGTGCTTTTTAATTCAAACTGAGTTACCAGCAAGACAATTCTAAAATGAGAACAGCAGCAGTGATGTTCTATTTTCAATGCATATCCCAACTGCCCTGGCAGCCAATTTGTATTATTTTCTCAAGCACTGTCCATACTCCCTCCAGAATTGACTTGGCACTCCCAATTCTGACTGAGACCCCCTTTTTAAATATTACTAAACTTTGGAAGGAGGCTATACATTACACAAATCCCCCATTTTTGGACATGCTTTGGATCCTAATCACATGCTGCTCAGGTATAAAATGACTTGGTAAATGATGCAAATATTTTAATGACATCAAGTAAGGTGTGGCAAACCCATTGATACAAATATTTTGGGGTTGATAGGCTGCCAAACAGTCTCAGCCCTAAAACTTTGTATGCAAATTGAAACACCTCTTTATTGGGATTCCCAACAGTGGTATTCTTAATATTTTCAGTTCAGCTGCATTTATATGAGGACTTTTTAACTGTTACCATTTGGAACACCTTCCATCTTACCACAAAACCAAATTTCCTTACAGCAAGAGTCCTTTTCTACCAAGCCATGCGCACAACCAGGTCCCCCCATGAGAAACCAGATGTGTCAACCACATGCATGAGGCAAACAGCTTATATGTCACCGCATGCAATATTTTTAATGATGGTATCATAACAGTGTAAATGAAAGCAATGAAATGGCAAATTAAACATACGCCAACTAGGCATTGTCCTACTGTTCCAAATCCCAAGACATTGACTGCACATCCATTATGAAATCAATGCTGAAAAATTTGTGTTGTTCCTCTAGACTTGGGGTCACAACGTAATAATGGGCCCAGCATTTTGATAGCCGATGAGCATTAGCCTATCGAGAGCACCCAATGACGTATGACAGAAGTTCCCAATGAATTTTTCGAGGATGTTGAAGCGACAGCCAGATGGCTTCCTCCTTACAAGTATCACAACAAGATCAGTTAGGCCCATATGCCTACTTACCGGTTATAATATGCCAACCAGCTGCAAAGCGATACTTGAAACGGCCACCTCCCGCGCACCGCAGACCCCTCCCCGGTCGATTTCGTAAACAAACTGACTGCCTAGTGCCTGTGAGCTGAAACGGTACCTCCTGGCAGGCGTCACACCAATTGCGGCGAACATAGCAAACTGCGCCATTCTTGGAACAAGCGGAGTACCATTTAGTTTTAACTGGAGCTTTCAACGACACTGTACAGCGATTTGTTACCAGTATGAAGCCAAGCAACGATGGTAAGCCATGCTTACGTGTATGTCATTTTGAAATTGGATGACGGTGAGAAGTGGACCAACCAAGAGGATGTGCGTTATGTCGCTTCAGTGACATTCGACGTTATGACATGGAAAACAGGGCCTGAAATCCCCATGATTTTCAATAAATGATTATGTTTGCGTTGGCAAGAAATTCATAGGTTACCCAAGTAAGTTCGGAGACGCCTCAGCGCAGGTCATGATAAGGCATTGTAGGGACTCTTATATGTGAAAGGTAAACCAACCTACAAATTAATGGTATTTTTAACATCTGCACCATCTCGAAAATGCAGGAGCCCTTCCAAAGCTGCAATGCAATGCCAAATGTTTCCTCAACTTTCGGCACTAATAGTACGTCATCACAGAAAGTATGACGCCTACGTTGATACCTAACTGTTTAAAATGCAGCGGTCTTTGACAAGGTATTTATGGTTTGCATTTATGATGTAAGAGTGAGACATCATGTGACTTTTCATGACGTCATGATAGCCACACCAGAAGTGCTGGCGCGGCGGAAAACTATTCCCTTTTTTACACTTCCACTTACCAGAATTATGCAAGCAATGATCACCAAAGTGGTTCCAGAACAAATTGTGGAATGGCGTTAAGCTGATATTTGACAGAATGCGAAAGACTGAATGATTTGTGTTGCCATGCAGGGGTTTTGTTGCCATGCATCCAGAGGGTGTTCCATGAGGTCATGCCCCCTGTGCTCCCATGACATTTTGATGCCCCTTCAGGGCACTAAATATCTCATGGTGAAGTCGCACAAAAATGTTGATTTTTGGCCAACATCACCTTTGTTTCAAGGGGCATCACAACTGACCACACAATTTTCATTTTTGAGAGGCGCCAGATTCCTGGGCCACAGCATAATGATACCCAAAACCTTCATTCCCAAGGAACACCAAACTCCATGGGCACAACTCGGCCTTGTTTCCCACCTTAAACATACATATATAGGTATATATATATATATATATATATATATATATATATATATATATATATATATATATATATATGTATAAGGTTGAACAACAGGCGACGACTGCGAAAAGGAACGTATGGCTCGGAGAAGTAACCAGCACCCACTGGAGCTCAGCTGACGCACAAGAGCACATCACATTGCATTCCCTCGTGATCGGCTTTTTATCTAGATTTTTGAGAAGAGCGCCGGACTGGTATACCTATTTGTGACGTCGATCTATAAGGCGCGCTGCCCTGCACAGGAATGATGGCAGAACGTTTGCATGTGGTAGGACGGCTGTATCGTTTCCCACGATGAAAGTGGACAAGTCTTACCGTGACAGCGCCAAATGCACCACTCGGTACCTAGTGTTCGTGGATGCTAAAGACGCGCTCTGCCAATGCAGGTGCAGTTTGCGGGGTTGCCCATGTACAATGCATTTTGACAAGGACAATCTAAGGAAAAGAACATGTCCGTTTACAAATCTTGTCAGAGTGCTATCAGCGTTTAGGCAGTACAACGCTTCATTTCACTTGGCTTTCTAGTTCATGAATCACAGGTAGCATGCCCGTCTCTTTTCTGAGCTTTTGTGCTAAGAAAAAGGCTAAAGCTGGCAAACTGTTTTTTTTTCACACGAAATCACACTTCTGTAGATTTAGATTTCGGGCGAGTTTCGGGTACAGGTGCAGAAGCAGATGTGTTTCCACCAAAGGTCCACAGTAGTTATTACACTTCACCTGGCACGAAATATTGACCTAAAATAATCAGGGGAGAATCTGCCTCTCATAGCAACTCAGCACGCCGCACATACGGTGAATGCAAGCAAATAAGACGTCAATGACGCCTAGAACGTGTTCTTTAAGTGCAACGAAATGACGAATCGCGCGTATCAATACCTCAACAGTTCAACATTACGACCCAGCACAAGGCTGTGGGACCCCGCCGGCACTGGTTCACGTGCGAGGCCGTGTTATGTGTCCGTTTCGGCTGCTTTGTTTGTACAGTTCTATTGCGCCAGGTCCAGTGGAGCAGATTATACGTCGAAAATTACCTGTTGTGATCGCACGCTGGCAGGAGTTTACGGTGTGTTAACGACTAGCTCTGTCACTCGCATTCAGTCAAGCTAATGTATGACATTAGATGTGCAGTGTTCCTACAACACGGTCTCTTCTCGGAAACCTGAAATGCTAGACACATTTTCAATGTCTAAACATGAGCAACGAATTCCCGATTGGCTAACGACATTTGGAGCCATTACGCGACGTGCCGAAGGGATATGCTCGGAGAACCTTGCAGGGGAAGGGGATTGGGGTAACTGTATTCGGGGTCACATCGCGGCTGGACCACCCCACACACAACGGCGAACTGCCGCACGCAACGCTGACAGGGAGACTCCCCACCCCACGCGCCCAAGCAGCACCTCTTGTACTCCTTCCAAGGCTCATTCCCGCAACACGACCTGCGAGCGACTGGCGGGTGCCACCGTGACGCACCGCCACGAGCCGTGATTGTTCTCCTCACTCAGACATGAGTCATCGCCCCACTCGTCTTGAATGCTGACGCA